GCTCCCTCATCCTCCATAGACGGCATCGATTCTTACTCTATCATAGTCCAAAAAAAATTAAGTAAAAGCTACGAGAATACTTTGTGAAGCATATAAGGCATATGCCAGCAGCGAGCCCTATACTGACACTGAAGTAAAGAAACTGTTGAATAAAGTTGAGATTTGTGTTTTATGTGTGCACAAACGTTTTCTATAGCTTGATAATATTGCAATTGAACCACTGAAGGAAAATGATCTGTTTTGGGGATGTTTTTGATATTTTTCTGGACTTTGAATGATTTGTAGTCTATGGAGGATGAGAGAGCTCTCAGATTACATCTAAAATATCTTAATTTGCGTTTTAAACATGAAAGTAGGGGAATGAAACGAAATGAGGGAGAGGAATTAATAATAATTTTCACTTTTAGGCAAACTAACCCTTTAAATGCTCACAGAAAAGATGTTTTTTCAGTTTTCCCTTGAATATAATTAGCATTTTGGAAGAAGTCTGGAAGATCATTAGATCATCAGCCTGGAAGAGAGAATGAGAAGGATCTGAAAGGTGATTTTGTGCTTTTCTGGGCAATGCTCATCAACACTGGCAACACTGGTATCTTCTATTGGTCACACACATTCATGTTACATGAATTTGCAGGTCAGAGCTCACCAAGCTTGAACTTTGAGATACAGCCACGAGCAAAATTTACATTTTTAATCTGACACATTTGTATGCATATGAATAGAGATCTATGGCGAGAAAAAAGCTAGGACTACTGATCTATTTCAGAGGATTATGTGCACCCAATGGTTCAAACATTGCATCCTGAAGACGGTGTCAAGGATAATAATGCATCAATACAGACAGCAAGACTGGTAAAAGAGTTGTTTGATGAACATAAAAGTGAAGTTGAACATCTCCCATGGCATGCACAGTCACCAGATCTAAATATTATTGAGCCACTTTGAGGTGTTTTGGTGGAGCGAGTCAAGAAACGTTTTTCTCCACCAGCATCACATAGTGATCTGGTAACTATTCTGAAAGAAGAATGCCTTAAAATCGCTCTGGCCACAGTGCAGGACTTGTACCAGTCATTCCCAAGATAAATTGATGCTGTATTGGCCACAAAAGAAGACCCTACACCGTACGAATGAATTATTGTGGTCCAAAACCAGGCGTTAAACAAGTTGAACATCTCCCATGGCCTGCACAGACACCAGATTTCAATATTATTGAGGAACTTTGGGGTGTTTTTGAAGGAGTCAAGAAACGTTTTTCTCCACCAACATCACCTAGTGACCTGGCTATTGATCTGCAAGAAGAATGATGCAAAATCCCTCTGGCCACTGGGCAGAATTTGTACCAGTCATTCCCAAAATGAACTGAAGCTGTATTGGCCACAAAAGAAGCCCCTATACCATACTACATTTACATTTAGTCATTTAGCAGACGCTTTTATACAAAGCGACTTACAAATGAGGACAAGGAAGCAATTTACACAACTAGAGTACAGTTAGTGGTATAGCCAGAGAGGCAATTGCAGATTAGGAAGTGAAGTATAGACTAAATAGATGAGTTTTTAGTCGTTTCTTGAAGACAGCAAGTGACTCGTTCTGATGCAGCTAGGAAGTTCATTCCACCAACTGGGCAGATTGAATGCGTGTTCGGGAAAGTGATTTCTTCCCTCTTTGGGATGGAACCACGAGGCGACGTTCATACACTGAACGCAAGTTTCTGGAGGGCACATAAATCTGCAGAAGTGAGAGCAGATAAGAAGGAGCAGAGCCAGAGGTGGCTTGGTAGGCAAACATCAGAGCTTTAAATTTGATGCGAGCAGCAACTGGCAGCCAGTGCAAACAGGTGAGTAGCATACTAATGAATTATTGTGGTCCAAAACCTGGCGTTAAACAAGTTCTTCCATGGCCTTCACACTCACAGTCACCAGATCTAAATATTATTGTGCCCCTTTGGGGTGTTTTTAGAGGAACGGTTGAGGAAATGTTTTCCTAATCCAGCATCACGTAGTGACCTGGCCACTATTCTGCAAAAGGAATGGCTCATAATCCCCCTGGCCTCTGTGCAGGACTTGTATCTGTCATTACCAAGATGAACTGATGCTGTATTGTCCACAAAAGAAGACCCTACACAATACTAATGAATTATTGTGGTCCAAAACTTGGCATTGAACAAGTTCTCCCATGGCCTGCACAATCACAAGATCTAAATATTTTTGAGCAACTTTGGGGTGTTTTTGGAGGAGAGAGTCAGGAAACGTTTTCGTCCATAAGTATCACCTAGTGATCTGGCCACTATTCTCCAAAAAGAATGGATCAAAATCCCTCTGGCCACTGTGCATGACTTGTATCTGTCATTACCAAGATGAACTGAAGCTGTATTGGCCGCTTATGAATTAATGTGGTCCAAAACCAGGCATTGAACAAGTTGAACATCTCCCAAGGCCTGCAGTCACCAGATCTAAATATTATTGAGCTCTTTTGGGGTGTTTTTGAAGAAGAGAGTCAGGAAACGTTTTCTTCCATCAGCATCATCTAGTGATCTGGCCACTATTCTCCAAAAAGAATGGATCAAAATCCCTCTGGCCACTGTGCATGACTTGTATCTGTCATTACCAAGATGAACTGAAGCTGTATTGGCCGCAAAAGAAGGCCCAATACCATACTAATAAATTATTGTGGTCCAAAACCAGGCATTGAACAAGTTGAACATCTCCCATGGCCTGCAGTCACCAGATCTCAATATTATTGAGCCACTTTGGGGTGTTTTTGAAAGAACAAGTTAGGAAATGTTTTCCCACACCAGCATCAAGCAGTGACCATGGCCGCTATTCTCCAAGAAGAGAAATTCCTCTGGCCACTGTGCAGGACTTGTAACTGTCATTCCCAAGATGAATTGAAGCTATACTATTGATATATTGTGGTCCAAATCCAGGCGTTTCAGTTTCATTGTCCAACCCCTGAATATATACATTCTACTTGTCCTAGCATTTATATACTGCAACTCTCTGATGATTTGAAGTGCTTCTTTTATCTTTACTTGTAAGTCGCTTTGAATAAAAATTTCTGCTAAATGAGTAAATGTAAAGGTCTGCAAAATAAGTTGTTCGGCATGCTCTATTAGTAAGAGCATGGTATTTCTTATGTTGTACAGTGCAAACATGCAAGATTGTGTAGCTACAATTGTGAAATTATGTTCGACAGCCGAATTGGCAGTGAAGACTAGATTATAAGAAAACAAGAGAGATCGAATGCTGCGAATGAGGATTTTCACACTCCAGGAAAAACACACACGGCGAGAAACTGCAAGCCATAATTAACTCTCTGTTCTCCCACACACATCCATCAACGTGAGCCTGAGAACATGGCTCCGGCGTCTGGGAAAGCAATCCCATGTTCATGTGGGAGCCGGGGAGGGGGCTGCAGAAGCAACTCGGATTATATTCAGGTGGGAAAATTCTCCCAGGTTTCAGACAAACGGGCTTCTTTGAGCGCACGAATCGTACATAAATTACCAGGCAATTGGGAAAAAAAGAAGAGGAAAGAGCAAGGTGAAATGGAAAAACCCAGGATCGCTGTTTGTGATAAGCAAGTTTTGGCCTTGTTTAGTATACGCTAACGGTTACACAACATTGAATAGGGTCGTTTAGATCTACTGCGGTCTGTTTAATGACGCGCACTACTTGAAGACACTAAAGCAGCTGTGTTACCGGGTCAGCCTGTGCTAACATGCCTGAAGCTTTTCCAATAACAAGCCTCGACTCTCTCCGACAGGAGCAAAACAGCATGACTGAGGCGAACAGCTTGAACTGTTCGTATTTACACAGCTGTTCGGTGGGTGACACTTCTTTCAACAACTGCTTTTTGCCTTAATTGGTTTTTAGTGCAAAAGCAAGTCTTCAATTCAACCCGGAGGAGTGACAGATCGGTTGAGTGATGGCGTCTAAAGGGAAAAAGCATGTTCAGGGATGAATTACTGGTTTTGGTGTTTTGCGAACATGAGGTTCTAGGCTGAGCTGATCGTTGTTGCTTCTTAAACAGGAAACTAAAAGCAGGCGGTTTCTCGGCAGAGGCGAAGCACAATGGTTTCTAAAGCCTGTAGCCATGGACGCATGAATGACATTGGAAATTAGTGATGAGATATTTGAGACTCAACCCCAAACAATATGCTACAAAACACAAGCGTAGGAGTAAATAATTACAATCCAGTGTCTATCCACTAACAGTCAATGCATATTATAATAAAAACATTTCAATATCAATTAGTCAATAAATAAAAGGTAACACTTTACTTTAAACTATTTATTTACCTGCCTATCAGCTGTTTATTTGTACTTATAAAATACATATTTTACATGATATTGTTCTACATTGCTAATCATACCTAAACCTAACTACTATCTAAATTGCTATTAATACCCAGAACATTAAGAGTTTATTGAGCTAAAATTCATAATTATTGGATTGTTAATAGTAAAATTTGTACCTTAAAATTAAGTGTGACTAATAAAATTGCTTTAATAAAATAATTATAATAACAATTAATTAATGGTATACTTTATTTTATGATATTTAGATAAAATATCTTAAAAAGAGAAGAAAAGGCACACATTTAATTCCAGGATAATCTTCTTTTAGTAGGTCCAGTAAATCTTGATAGATAGTAAAGACTGCCGTTTCATTTTTGCTGTCATTACCTCCACCTCTGATTAATCAAAAACTTGTACTGAAATTATATAATTTCAATAGAAATCTGTTGTGGTTTTAGTTGTGGTGCAAACGCCAAAATTCAGTAGTGACGCTACTGCCATCAAGTGGTTTCAAATTGAATCACATCCACATGACAGTATTCCTAGTCTAAAACTGATTATGATCAATGAACCATGATGAGCTGTTTTAAACAGAGTGACAAGAATGAACAATGCTAGATGCACAACATTAAATGCAACAACCCATCAAATCTTGGCCAAGAATCAAAATGGAGTGCTGACCTGATGAGAGAAACCCACCTTGGTTTTTAAAGGAGGATTTCGGAGGTCTGTTGGTGCTTGTTGATGATGTCCAGTGGGTGGGTTTGGGAATGACCTTGCGTGGTGCAGGGGTCTCCAAAGGGCTTTTATGCCCCCCTGTTTGTCTCTCACGATAAACATCCATTGAGACTGTCAGGAAAAAATAACCAATAAAACAAAAGTCAGTAATATTTATTGGTTTTACGTGCAGTTCATTGATCACTGCCAATCTCTACACACATCAAAATCAACCGTGGGCCCAAAAAGTATTTGGACACTTTCAAGAATTTGAAAACCTTTTCCTCCACCAGCATCACGTAGTGACCTCACCACTATTCTGCAAGAACAATGGCTCACAATCCCTCTGGCCACTGTGCAGGACTTGTATCCGTCATTTCCGAGATAAACTGATGCTGTATTGTGTGAAAAAAGAAGGCCCTACACCATGTCAACATCTTTCATGGCCTGCACAGTCACCAGTCATATTATTGAGCCACTTCAGGGTGTTTTGAATAGTTCACTTAAAATCAGAAAATTATTTACACAGTGCTCACTTATTTTTCTTTATTATACTTTAAAGATGCTTTATTCTATTTTGAGATATATTAAAGAAACTAGTAACGATTGACTTCATTTATTGATTTATTGTCTTTCGGCCTAGTCCCTTGTTTATCAGGGGTCGCCACATTGGAATGAACCAACAACTATTCCGGCATATGTTTTACGCAGTGGATGCCCTTCCAGCTACAACCCAGTACTGGGAAACACCCATACACCCACATTCACACACACTCTAGGCTAATTTTGTTTACCCAATTCACCTATACTGCATGTCTTTAGACTGTGGGGGAAACCGGAGCACCCGAAGGAAACCCACATGAACACGGGGAGTAACCATTGACTTTCATAGTATATCTTTTTCCTACTATGGAATCTACAATGGTTAAAGGTTTTCAGCTTTCTTCAAATTATCTTTTTTTTATGTTCAGCTAAATAAAGAGTCTAATGAATATGTGGAAACACTTGAGGGAGGACATTTTTATTTTTGGGTGAACTATCCCTTTAAGTTGTTCACTCAAAAATGTAAATGTACTCATTATTTGGTGATACAAAACAAATAAACATTAGTTTTTTTTTTTAGTTGAACACACAAGGAGATATTGTGAGGTGACCAGGCTGCTAATGGCACTCATTCAGATTCATTGACGAAGACAAATAATAGAAAAACATGAAAGTGAATTAAATTTTATTTGTGGGTGAACTTTGCCTTTAAGCAATATATATATAATAATATATAATATAATATTATATTATATATATATATATATATATATATATATATATATATATATATATATATATATATATATATATATATATATATATATATATATATATATATAAAATATAATAATAATATATAATATTACTAAATATAACTAAACCCAAAAACATATTTGTTTCTTAATTTGTTTAATATTTTTACAGTCAGGGCCAGTAGCCTAGTGGTACTGTGCGCTGACAAATAGCACCAACGTGCTCACGGCGACCCGAGTTCAAATCCCAGCTCAAAGTCTTTTGCCGATCCTTCCCCTCTCTCTATTCCCAATGCTTTACTGTCTGAATTCTCTACTATCCTGTCATATTAAAGGTGAAAAACACCGGAAAAGTTCAAAAGTGTCTAAATATTTTTAAGTCCACTGTCTTCACATCTAAAGTCGCAAGATTCAAATCAGAGCATTTAGTGCATAAATAAATAATATAGAAAAAAACATGAATTATCATTAGCAGGCCTAATATTTGAAATAATGTCTTACATTTCATATGTAATTGTGAGAGATTCTCCCTCTGAGCCACATTTTACCAATTTTCATTATAAGATTTTAAAAATATTCAGACAAATGTACATACAACACAATACTGACCTGATGCTGGTCTTCCAGCAGAGGGATTATCAGTGGCTGACAGTCTGATGCTGCGATTCCCTGATATCTGAAGTGGAAGAGAGTCTATCTGGGAGACTCCAGAGCTATTTCCACGAGATGCAACTACATCCAGAGCTGAACCCAGGAGACGATTCTAAAGACAGAGAAGACCATTATATGATAATAAAACACACACACACACAGTTCATGAACCACCTCTGAAACATCCACCAGGTGCTACACAATTACACAACTGAATTGAAAGTCTGGAATTGAAGTATGCTTAAAAATAAAAGATCTCAATGATGCATGTAAACACAATGAGTTCAATATTTGGAAAACTAAATGATTATGTTTAATGCAATAAACCTTGATTAACAGTATGAGCAGATTTTACAACAATAAATAAGAAATCTTGTGTTAAAAAATGAATCAAAAAAGCCACAACAATAAACAATAATATATAACAAAAAATAAGAAAGAACAAGATGAAACTAAAAAGTAAGCTAAGTAAAAAAAATATATATATAACAATAATAAAGTCAATAAAATAAAAACAGTAATATAGGAATAAAACAAACCAGAAATAACCAGAAGATATAAACAATATATAAATGATAAAAAATAAAAATAGGTGTTTTTAGTTGGCTTGACAGCAGCCAAGAAAATAGTGGCGACAAGATGGTATCTGGAAATGTCCACTGCTCACATACAAGGTGCAAGAGAGGAGAACAGCCTCAGACTTTGGGCTTTACTCATTTGAATCAAGGAGACATCAAAAACCAAAACTTCTGGTTCCAGGCCACATAATTTTTTAATTTAATTTATTTTATCAATTTATATATATATATATATATATATATATATATATATACACACACATATATATATATATATATATATATATATATGTATATATATATATTAATTTATTTAAATATTACAGCATGTATATATCTTTCAGCATGGTTTTGAATATCTTAATCTATTTGCTCATTACTATTCTTCTATTTACTTATTTTTAACTGGCTTGATTTTACCCTTACTTAACCTTAAATACAGATTTGGTTTATTGCTTTTTTGGTTTGGAAATGTGTTTTATTTGTATGTATGTGTATATGTATATATATTTATCAATTATTGCTAATTGTTTTAGTCAGTCTTTGTCTTTTATTCTTCAGGTTTTTCTTTGCATTTTCATTATTATTGTTGTTGACATTATTAATAATATTATTATTTAACAACCTGTATATTGGTAATTAGCCCCCCTGAATTATTAGCCCTCCTGTTTATTTTATCCCCGATTTCTGTTTAACGGAGAGAAGATTTTATCAACACATTTATAAACATAATAGTTTTGATAACTCATTTCTAATAACTGAATTATTTTATCTTTGCCATGATGACAGTGAATATTATTAGATTAGATATTTTTCAAGACACTTCTATGCAGCTTAAAGTGACATTTAAAGGCTAAACTAGGTTAATTAGGTTAACTAGGCAGGTTAGGGTAATAAGACAAGTTATTGTATAACGATGGTTTGTTCTGTAGACTATCGAGAAAATATATAGCTTATGGGGCTGACAATTTTATTAATATTTTAAAAAGATAATTAAAAACTTCTTTTATTCTAACCCAACTAAAGCAATTAAGACTTTCTCCAGAAGAAAATATATTATCAGACATACTGTGAAAATTTCCATGCTCTGTTAAACATTATTTGGGAAATAATTAGAAAAAGAAAAAATTCAAAGGGGGTTTAATAATTCTGGTTTCAACTGTATATCTATGCACACTGCTTTAAACTGATCATCTACGGCATGTTTTTTCTGTGTTCACATAATTCAAAATAAATAAAAAACGTGATTGAAAGGAAAGGAAAATAAAAAAGAAAAATTTGAATAAAAATTAGGAAATTTTGATGCAATGGAATAAAAATATATACAGTTGTCAGTAAGTCAGTATTATTAGCCCCCCTTTGATTTTCTATTCCTTTTTAAAATAAAGGTTAAAGATAAAATAAATCAACTATTAGAGAGGAGTAATTAAAACTATTATGTTTAGAAATGTGTTGACAAAATCTTCTCTCCATTAAACAGAAATTGGGGGAAAAAATAAACAGGGGGCCTAATAATTCAGAGGGGCTAATAAATCTGACTTCAACTGTTTATATTTATATTTTTTCAAATGGTTGTTAAATACATTTTTTCATTTTAATTTAGTTTAACTTGACATTCAAAAATAACTAAAACTTAAATTAAAACAAAAATATAATAATAAAAAATAAATTAATAATAATAATAATAATAAATAATTATAATTATAATTGTTTTAATGTTTTTAATCAATATATATCAACAACGAAACCTTCAAAAGGCAAAATGTGACAATCAAAACTCTGCATCTTCAAATCCAGACAGAGGTCTCGGCATTTTCACCTGCAGTTGAATCTGCTGACACTGAATTGTCTCCAGGTGTTGCAGTCTCTGCTGGATCAGAATGTTAAGTTGCTCCTCCAGATGGGCTGCTCTCCCAGCTGAACTGCTGTCTGTACGGGCCGTCCTGCCAGGCAGGACACTGCCCTCTGCTGCCTGCAGCCTCTTCAGCTCAGCAGACACCCGAGAGATCTGAGCCTCCATCTCACTCTGAGCCTGATGGCCAAACAAACACAGCTGAAGGTGAAAGCTATAATAGATTGAGGTAGACGTGTGTCAATATTCAATAGCACAGTCACACTTTACAATAAGGTTTCATTAGCTAATGTTTTTCCTTAAATGAACTAATTATGAACAATACTTGTACATCATTTATTAATTATAGTTCAACATTCACCAATGGATTATTTATTTATTCTTTATTTATTTATTGCCACATCAGTAACTTATGGCTATTTCGTGGCAAAATGGACGTACATAAAACTTTACATGATAAAAACAAATTCTTATTACAATAAAAACTTACTTAGACAAATATATAGGATGGAAATAAATAAAGTTAACACAAAAATATATTCAATGTTAAATATGATTTTTTTAGTTCAGCTTTTGATTAATGATTTAAGATTCTTCCTGGTGGTACCTTTTTAAAAATGTCCAAAGTACTCTCCTTAAAAAAATTGTCTAATGGTATTCAAACTTCCACATTCCAACAAAATATGTTTCATGGTAAGAGCAGCCTGGCAGTAATTACATTTGGATGGTGCTTCGTTATTCAGTAAATACAATTGAGTCAACCTAGAATGCCCAATTAGACATCTAGTATACAGTTTGATCATGACTGGTCTCAAAATGATAATTTGTTAAGTGTCTTTCATTTATTTCCGGGTAAATTTCATGCAATTTATTATTTATGCAGTTGTCCCATTCTCTTTGCCATGTTTCGTTTATATACAAATTAATTGTAGGTTTCAAGTTCTCAGGAGGAATTAAACATTCTGTCACTTTCAATGAGATGTTTTTCTGCTTCATCTACATCAGGGTTTTTCAAAGTCTAAGACAGTGGGCCTCACTTTTGACACAACTTATCCATTGGCGCCCCCCTCCTCCCAAACACGCACGCACGCACGCACGCACGCACGCACGCACGCACGCACGCACGCACGCACGCACGCACGCACGCACGCACGCACGCACGCACGCACGCACGCACACACACACACACACACACACACACACACACACACACACACACACACACACACACACACATATATATATATATATATATATATATATATATATATATATATATATATATATATATATATATATATATATATATATATACACAGTATATATAAAGACACAGACAGATGTCAGACGGTTAACTCACTTTTATCATCATTTGCATGAAAGTGAAATTATTTACAGAGTAATAACAAGTATTTTAATATAACGTTTTTAAAAATAGGATGATGGTTCAATATGAATAGAACAGATTCAAGAACTGTCCATCCCAGTCAAAACAGTCGAAGAAAACCGACCCATTGTATTGGCAGGACTATACCTGTATTGGCGGGCTTGCCAAACAGAAGCGAATTCACAGCTATGGCCTTCTGGGTAAAAAAGGTTTTCTTATATTTGACATATTATTTTTTTGCTTTGTTTAATTAAAATGTTTAAATATAATAAAAAGTACATATAATAATTAAACTTAATAATTATATTTTTATTATATTATATTTTTTCCCACGCCTCCCCTGACATGCTCTGGCGCCCCCCAGGGGAGGCGCGCCTCACACTTTGAAAACCCCTGATCTACATTATGCAGTATTAAAATACAAATTCATGTTTGTTAACATTAGTTACTAGGGGTGTAACAATATTGTAAATACCGTCGTACCGCAATAGTATTGTTTTTCAATATTACCGTAGGCGCATGACTCAATAAAACAATATTTCTGAGAAATGTTTGCTCAGGCGAATGAAGCGAACGGGAGGTAGCGGGAACTGCAATTCCCATCAGCCTAGGCGTGGCCATCATCCTTTGCAGTCTGTTGTCACTACAGATCCAGTAATGCGGAAATGGAGTGTGCTGCTAGTAGCGGGGAAGAAAAAGAGCTGGAAATGGTCGAACCTAAATCAGGTTTTAAATCGGATGTGTGGAAGAATTTCGGTTTCTTTCTAAAAAGATATGAAAAAGGAGAAAAGGTGACAGACAAAGAAAAAAACGGTATGCAGGCACTGCCAGACTGTGGTGAAATATAAGTCGGGGAATACAACTAATAACAGTCAAGGGGACTGCAGAAACACAGCACACTTGTTAGATTGATGCAGACATTGACTTGTACCACAAAGAGACCTCTATCTCACTCATGGCTTGTCCTCTCAAGTGGTGGAAAGACAATGCACAGCGTTACCCACTGCTGTCAACCTTGGCTAAATCATATCTCTCTGTCCCAGAAACCTCAGTCCCAAATTAGAGGGTTTTTTCTGTTGCAGGGCACATGCCCAGAGATCCCAGCTTTTACCAGATTATAATTATATGATAATTTTCCTTAAAAAACCCATCTCTATCTAAGTGAGTGAGTGATTAAATGTTTAATGTGGTGAGTTTTCAACAAAACTAAATTGAAAATGTATTTTTTTAAATAGTTTAATAGTTTTTTGTTATTAAAATTGAAAAATTGAAGTTCCTGTCTCGAAACTTACAGATAAATGGCTAATTTGTATGTCATTGATATGTTCAGTGCTAAGGTAAATAAACACTTTTGGCACTTTTTTTTAGTCTTTTCATTAGTTTTGTTTTTCCTGTAAATGATTCAATAAATACCGTACCGTGCCATTCATACCGAGGTATTATCGTACCGTGAAATTCTGATACCGTTACATCCCTATTAGTTACTGCACTGTGAGTTAACATGAACTAACAATAAACAACTGCATTTTCATTAACTAATGTTAACTAACATGAACAAAATCTGTAATAAATGTATTGCCTGTTGTTTGTTCATGCTATGCATTAAATGGATATGCTCCACCTCTATTATGTGAGTTTGTAACACAGAAAAATAATAATGGCAAAGCAACACAATCTATTACTAGAGGAGCCAGTCTTCTCAATTAGAGCCAGTCATTTCTGGGATACACTTCCTATTGATTTAAGGGGTATTACAAATTATTCCACATTTAAATACAAGTTAAATAAATCTCTAAAAGCAAATCAAGATTGTAACCATCTGTAATTCTTTACTTTAAATTTTTATAGAATTCTTATTATATGTTTTGTCTTTTTGGTGTATGCAACTTTACTGTTATTGTATGTCTATTAATGTGTTTTTTTATTTTTATTTTAGGTTGCCTTTTTAAAATCGGGCAGGGGCAACCGATGGAAATTAGCCCTTGTGGCTAACTCTGGCATATTTATAGTTTTACTGTTTATTATTGAGCATTGTCCAAGTTAAAATAAAATTATTTAAATTTTACAGTAACCAAAAACAACCTTATTGTAAAGTGTTACCAATAATAAAACAGATCGTGCAAATGAAAATGCTATTGTGGGCACTTTAAAATGCAGTGAATAATTATTTCTTATTTAAATCTTTAGAATGGCTTTTACGAATATTTATGCTGTATCTGCAAATACTTGAAGACCTGAAGGGATAATTCACCCAAAATGACAAAGTTTCTTATTCTGTTGAACACAAAAGTAGATAGTTTTAAAAAAGCTGGAAACCTGTAAACATTGACTTCCATAGTATTTGTGTTTCCTATTATAGAAGTCAATGGTTCCAGGTTTTCAGCTTTCAAAACTTTTGTGTTCGGCAGAATAAAACTCAGCACCATGGTAGAGTAAATATCATCTTTGGGTGAACTATCTCTTTAATAGGCTGTTTATTTTCCAACACATTGATTAAAACATTTTCTGATTCTTTATGAATCAATACTGCTTCTTTTGTTAACATTCTTTAATTAAACTGATGAAAACTATTTTAAAGCATTTATATTTAATGTTATTGGTTTATACATCAAAAACCTTTCACCATTTTATTTATTGGATCTAGTTTAGCTGTTTTTTTTAGTTATTTAAACTGACATCAATAAAACATAAGTAACAAATGTAATGTAATGTAATGTGTATTTATATAGCGCATTTATCGTGTATGGTCATACACCCAAAGCACTTCACAATCATGAGGGGGGGTCTTTCCACACCACCACCAGTGTGCAACATCCCTTTGGATGATGCGACGGCAGCCACAGGACAATGGCGCCAGTACACTCACCACACACCAACTATCAGTGGAGTGAAGAGACATTGATAAAGCCAATTCGGTGGATGGGGATGATTGGGAGGCCATGTTCGTAGGGGCCGATTGAGGGACTTTGGCCAGGACACTAGGGTTACACTTCCCTACTCTTTACGAGAAGTGCCATGTTAATGTCCACAGAATGTCAGGAAATGTAGCTATTTCTCAAATGCGGGTCCCTTAATGTCTAAACAACTTCAAATTGACATTGACATCAAAAAGCAAACCAAAAATGTAAATAAGTTTTGATGTAAAAAACCTTGACGTCTATTTGACATCCACACACTGATGCACTTTTGACCACCAAAATTACGATACATAAAGCATTATAATATAAGAAAAGTTTTATTCATCTGAAAGCTTCGATTACAAATGAAAAATGTACACAGGATTTTAATGTATTCCTACTATGCTTGTAAACTACCTTGATGTCAAAACAATATCAAGTTGACATCTAATAGACCAATTGCCATGTTTGTAAACATTCGCGCAGGGAGGTGGCAGAAAGAAACCGGGAGTGCTAGCATTTACAGCGAGGGAATGACACTCGATGCGGTACAGAGTTTGTTGTCTTAGAAATAAGTTACATTGATTACACATTATATATATTATTAACATAATGCTTTCAGTGTATTATAACAGCTCGTCACCCAGTGATAAGCACAGCGATTCAGCAAAATTAACGGTAAAGTGAGCAACGTTCGTCTGACAGGTCCATTTGCGATAGCAACCTCCCAATGAATATTGGTAAAGACGAAATGACCAAGCATCCAGCCCCAAATATACAATCTCATTGAAGCTCCAAGTGATTTTACAAGAGAGAAGTTAAAGGTCCACAAGTCCTTGGATGCCAACAATGTTGTCTGTGTTGTCATGTGCAAGAAATAATGCTCCATGATAACCAGATTCAACACTATGTACAGCTAAAAACCGAGATTCTGCTTAGCCAAAGACAAGGAAAGAAGACGGAGTTAACGTTATACAAGGCCTGGGTAATTAATCACCAACATGCAAAACAACTGCATTCTGACAGTGAACTGCACCTGTTCGGCAGGGTATGTCAACCTACACATAGAGGTAAAGTTGTTTTTATATTCGCATATTCTGACTTTCTCCTTAATAGTATAAGTTCATAAAAGTATAATTTGCAAACTCTAAATAGCAAAATCATATTAGCAGCCAATGACTATAAAAGTACAACATTGTTCACAGTCAAATAAACAGTGTTAATGTTGTTTTCAAGACACACTAGCAGGTAATTTCAGACCGAATATTCAAAGTGCCGTGGTAAACAATATAGGGGGTGTGTCACAAGTTGTCACTGAATGAATGTGAATATAAAACCAACTTTACCTTAATAACTTTAACTTTTATGTTTTATTCTCAGCATTTAGTTTCCGCAGTTTAATTAACCATCTGTACCAGTTTTTGCTGTAATCATTGCTGCAATCAAATGCGAATGATGTGTATGATTCAGCATAGCGTGAACTTACCTGATACAACATGAGAACTGCAGAGTCCAGCATTTCTAATTAGGTCGTCGCTTCATTCAGCTCTCTTTTAGCCAAAAACGTCTGCAGTTAGCATTAAAGCAGTGTGGTGTATGGTAAAAGTTAAGTTTTCGAATATTTTGAATTTGGCATCCTACCAAACAACACCACATCTTTACTATTGCAGCCTGTCTTTTTTTTTTTTGCAACCGAGGACTTGTGTGATGTCATGTGTGACGTAGGTTGGTAATTGGTCTATACTGGCATAAAAACACACGCGCACACGCACACGCACACGCACACGCACACGCACGCACGCACGCACGCACGCACGCACACACACACACACACACACACACATACGCACACACGCACGCACACACATACACACACACACACACACACACACACACACACACACACACACACACACACACACACTCGCGCACGCACACGCACAAGCACACGCACACGCACACACACGCACACATTAAAAACTGATTACAGAAAAGTGCTGTAATTGATTATTAAAATTTTTTGACATCAGTGTTAAATCATAGATGTCAGTTTAATATTATTTCAAGATATTAAAGTCTAAGAGCTGGGGCTCGAACTTGGGACGATGTTGCACTACATGTCAGCGCACTAACCTCTGGGCTATCGGCACCAACTTGTTATTTGCTGTCATTTTTACATCAAGGCGTCCGCTGGGTTAACATATGAAATATGAATGCATGAACATGTTACCTTCATGAGTGGTGCTGTGGCTGCGAGAGTAGCAGCTGTTATAGCTGCCACACTTGCAGAAGTGCCAGGATCTCCTAATGGAAAAGCAGGATCTGGCTGAACTCTGGCTGGAGTTTGAGATCTGTCTTGGTTCAACACTTGTACTGTCACGTTACGTCCTATAGGAGCACCTTGGGATCTAAGGATCATGGTGACAAATAACATAAAACAATGTGCAAAATAATCATGTTTGAGCATAGAAATGTTTAAATAGACACAGGCTTTACCTCTTCCTGAGCGCGGCAGAAACCACTCCTCTTCCATCTGCAGAGAATGTAGAAATCTGCACATCCTCACCTAAGATATTAAGGAATTTCATATTGGTTTAAATTAGAGACATTTGCAAGAGTCTTTATTGCTTTATTGTTAACTATAACCATACATATAAACAGGGATAGTTGAACTTTAGGAAATACTTTCAAATGAAAAAAAAAATAATAATAATAATAATGATAATGATAATATGGTATGGAAAATACCCAAAGAGCTGTTTTTGCACAACGGATAAAGAAAAGGTCTGATAATCTTGCTCTTAAAAAAATCAACATACGTAATCAGAGGTAAAGCAGAGACTTTTAAAAAAGCGTGGTCTCCTAGCAGTTGCTTTATAAATGGATAGAAATATCTTTAAAGATGATTGTAATTTAAAATTCAATGTAATAATTTTTTTGTATTTGTATTTTTTATAGTTTTGCATTTTATTCTTTTTTACAATTTATTTTAAATGTTATTTTTATTTAACAAATGTTGGGGTGGCAAAGTACATTCTGAAATATCATACAAGTTAATATTCTGTCCTGTTTGCTGGGTTTTGCAATATAATGAAAATTATTTTTTTTAAAACAGTTGGGAAAAATAATAATGATAATATATAAGATAAAAATATAAAACAGTTTTTAAGGTTTACTTTTGATAGAAAATTGTACAACTTTAGAAGAATTCACACTTATTAATAATTTCATTTAAAGTCTCTCCAGATAAAAATAGCTGTCTGATAATATTAAAATTCCACAAAAACATTCCACAATGTTTCACAAAAACATGTTTAACAGTTTGGTTTCTATTGCAATAGTGACATTTTGGAGGTTCTTCTCCTTTGAGTAATTGTTCCTGCGTGTGTCTTGTGTGACCGATACAGCATGTTCTGTACACAGTCTCATCATGTTTTGCGTTAAAAAAAAAAAAAAAACTTATTTCAGACTGGATTGCAAAAAGTTTATTTTTTGAGCGTGTTTATATGTGCATGTGTATATACACATTGCTGTGTATATAATTTCACTTTTTGATTTAAATAGCACTATTCTGAAAGATTTCATGAATTTAGATTGCCTCAGGAGATCAAGTGTTTTTCTATGCAGAGCATTTTCATTAAATGTAATAAATGACAAGCATATATAATTATGAGTGAATACAAATAGTTCAATAAACAGTGCTTTATGGTTTTCTGGGGAGTTCAACAGTATTCAAATATACAAATTGAACAATCCAACGTGAAATAAAAAAATAGATATATTTTATATAAATATTATATCCTTATCATTAAATCTTTTTATAAATAGTCTAATGTTGTGATGTGACTATTGTGGAAACACACTGCGATATCTATGCTTTAACCATATATTGCTCAGCCCTAATATATAGAAAAAATAATAATGATAAATTGGCAAACAACAAGATTACTACTTTAACACTTATATAAGAATAAAGGTAAAATTTTGAGTTTTTTTCTAGTTTTAAGATGACATAATAAAATGCCTAACACTACTAAAATCTAACAATAAACAAACGTTATTTAGACATTACAATAATCACAAGGACAAAATATTAATAATTAAATACTACAAAGAACACTTGGAAAAGATATCAGGCATCCGCTGCGTAATGTGCTAGATAAGGACTAATAAAGGGACTAAGCCGACAAGAAAATGAATGAATGAATAATATAATATAGGGCATCACTGTGGCGCAGTAGGTAGCACGATTGCCTCACAGCAAGGTCGCTGGTACGAGCCTCGGCTGGGTCAGTTGCCGTTTCTGTGTGGAGTTTGCATGTTCACCCCGTTTTGGCGTGGGTTTCCTCCGAGTCCTCTGGTTTCCCCCCACAAGTCATGTGGTACAGGTGAATTGGGTAAGCTAAATTGTCCATAGTATGTGTGTGAATGAGTGTGTGTGGGTGTTTCCCAGTGATGGGTTGCGGCTGGAAGGGCATCCGCTGAGTAAAACATATGCTGGATAAGTTAGCGGTTCATTCCGCTGTGGCAACCCCAGATTAATAAAGGGACTAAGCCGAAAAGAAAATGAAGGAATGAATGAATAATATAATATAATATAGAACTCACACCTTTTGACTTTAACTGTTCTGTCTGCATGATTGTGGATTGAGCTTTACTCTTCTCTTTCCTGGAGGTCTGGTAAATACATATAAAAATATATATAAATCAATGCAAGTTTAACAATATGCACACCCATTTTAAAATATTAAAATAAAAAGCAAAACTTACTTTGCCAAAAAGCCCAGCAAACTGGTTTGACTTGATTCCAGCCAGTGGTTCCTCTGGTCCAGCTGAATTCAGATAAATATGCATGTATTATTCTGAACACTTAATTGATGGCAAAGTTTAACACTGAGGTAAAGTTGGTTTGATATTGACACACTCAGACTTTCTCCATAATAATATAATAAGGTTAACACTGTCGTCAACAGAAAGAAGGTCACTGGTTCGAGTCTCGGCTGGGCCAGTTGGCATTTCAGTATGGAGTTTGCATGTTCTCCGCATGCTCCAGTTCCCCCACAGTCCAAAGACATGCGCTTTCGGTGAATTAAATAAACTAAATTAGACATTGTGTGTGTGTTTAAATAAGTACTGGGTTGTAGCTGGAAGGGCATCCGCTGGGTAAAATATATGCTGGAATAGTTGGCAGTTCATTCCACTCTAGCAAACTCTAAAATAAAGATTAATCCGAAGGAAAATGAATAATGAATGAATATAAGCAATATCAAAGTACTATTAGGAATATCACAGTACTATTAAGAATAGTAGGACTCTCAACATACTATTAGGACTATCAAAGTACTATTAGGAATATTAGGACTCTCAACGTACTATTAGGACTGTCAAAATTCTATCAGGAATATTTTGACTAAGTACTATTAGGACTATCACAGTACTATTAGGACTATCACAGTACTTTTGAGGAATATGAAGACTATTAAAGTGGTATTAGGACTATCAAAGTACTATTAGGAATAGTAGGACTCTCAACGTACTATTAGGACTATCACAGTACTTTTGAGGAATATTAGGACTATCAAAGTACTATTAGGAATAGTAGGACTCTCAACATACTATTAGAACTATCGAAGTACCATTAGGAATATTTGGACTATCTAAGTACTATTAGGAATAGTAGGACTCTCAACGTACTATTAGGATTATCAAAGCACTATTAAGAACATCAGGACTATCAAAGTAACTTAATATTACAACATTGTGTTCGCAGTTAAATAAATTGCGCTAATGCTGTTTAAAAGTCACATTTACATGCAATTTCAGACCAAATATTCCAAGTACATGGTAAATAATATAGGGACGTTGTCTATGAATATAAAGCTTTACTTTAATAAGTTTAACAGCGTTACCTGTATCTGATGCTGTAGGCAGATTCACAGGAGGGATTTCTGTCCTTCTCTCGTCCGCAGAATGAACATGTTCAGAGTCTGACAGTCTCCTGATGTAAATGTTAACTTTATTCTGATTCTTATGCTGTATTTCGTCTCTACCGGCTCTGGTTGAGTGAATTAGCACATCTGCTGCATCAGAACTGGATGTCGAGTCGTTAAAGTGTGTTTTATTGTTCACAGACACACAACAAGAGTCCATTTCCACTCTTATATCAGTAACATGCAGACCAGTAACTTAGTAGTTCAGGGCTGATGTCAGTCGGTATGAAACGTTTTAATAGTCTTACCGTAAAGAAGACGCCAACATATCGATTACTTGAAGGATTTCCAGAAACATCCAGAGATTGCAAAAACTGATGATGTTATCAGAATTGTTTTTGAATTTCCCGCCGCAGGTGTTTTTAAAAGCAACAGGTCGGATTAGCCTCGCTTATTTGTGTTCATATGACAAATCAAGTCACTATTTCGTGGTAGCTTGATGTGATATTCAAATGATGTAGTTTCAGTTTATTACATCCATTAATTTCCACAGCGTGGGTTGTTGTTGCTGACAACAAAACTTAACATAACCGTGAACGCCGAAACAACGGTGAAATATCAAGACGGTAAACAGATTTCAAAATAAAAGTCTTGATTTTATTCATTTTTGGAAGTCTTGACTCTGCTGCCCCCTTTCGATTCTTATCAGAATGATTAAAACAGTTGACAGATTGCAGAAAAACTTTGACGAATGCATGATTATTTTTAGAATTGTAAAACTGTCTATGATACGCTCGATAATGCTTTGAAGTTGATCATTTTTCTTGGGAAGTTTCACATAAACAAGGCAAAAGTAATGTCTATTACTCCTTTTTTTCTGTAAAGATTTTAAAATATTTTACAATTCTTTGACATCAATTACAAGATACAAGAAGGCTATAAAAACCTCTCTAATAATGAAAAAAAAAATCTATTCAATCTAATAATTTAAATACGATGGATCTCCTCATACAGTTGAAGTCAGAGTTATTAGCCCCCCTGAATTATTCGCCCCCTGTTTATTTTTCCCCCAATTTCTGTTCAACAGATAGAAGATTTTTTTACACATGTCTAAACATAATAGTTTTAATAACTAATTTCTAATAGCTAATCTATTTTATCATTGTCATGATGACAGTAAATAATATTTGACTAGATATTTTTCAAGACACTTCTATACAGCTTAAAGTGACATTTAAAGGTTTAACTAGGTTAATTAGGTTAACTAGGCAGGTTAGGGTAATTAGGCAAGTTATTTTATAACGCTTGTTTGTTCTGTAGACTATCTGAAAAAATATCTATAGCTTAAAGGCTAATAATTTTGACCTTAAAAGGGTTCAGAAAAAAATTAAAACTTTTTTATTCTAGCCTAAATAAAACAAATAAGACTTTTCCAGAAGAAAAAAAAAATATATATATATATATATATATATATATATATATATATATATATATATTATCAGACATAGTGTGAAGATTTCCTTGTTCTGTTAAACATAATTTAGGAAATATTTAAAAAAGACAAAGACAATCAAAGGGGGGCTAAAATTCTGACTTCAACTGTATAATGTAGTATTTTTGTTTAATGTATGTTCTGCATCCCTACGTTTTGTATAACTGTTACTCTATTATCATATAATCCTGTATGCTTGTCAGTTAAATGCTTCAAAAAAAAAATCTGGATAAAAAAATAGATTACAGAATAGATTGCAGAAACTTAAAAAAATTTGGAAAAAAACGAAGATGTAATCTGCTTAATACATTTTAAAGAAAAGAGAAGGAAGAGAAAAAAAACATATAAATTAAAGTAGAGAAAAACACAGAGAGACCAGAGGGGAAATTATATGATGTTATACACTTATTTTCTTTACTTTTAAAAGACTTTTTGTTTTATGCCCATTAAAGACATGACTTACGGTGACTTATAGTCAATTAAAAAAATTGCCAGAGTTCGATTTTTTCCAAAAATGTTCATGTACATGTTAAACGGTTAACAATGTACTGAATGCAGGATTTAGAGTTGTAATAAAAGAAAATTATGTCAAAAGTATTTAAACAAATATCATCCTTTGTCTTTTCTGAGAGATAGATACTGGTTCCGTCAAAAATAGTTTCACACAAGTACATTCACAAAAAAGATGAACAACAGTTTCTTTCAAGTCACAAAATGTACATTTGTTTTCAATATTTAGCATATATTTACGATAACCATACTGAGATCCAAAGAGTTGCTTTTTTTGAGATTTCCAACGTCATTTGAGTTAAAAAAAAATATAAAATAAAAAATCTACAATTTAGAGTTTTTACGTTTTGTTTTTATTTTTAATTGTACAGCATGTCCACTGTAGTGGACCACAGGCCCGTTTTAGAATCCAAACTAGAGCCAAACTCAGACAACAGAACTGTACAGGATATGGCTGTAAAGGGATATAACAGTAATGTAACAAAAACAAAACAAAAGCCATTTTTTTCCTTTTGTTATGAAATTCCTGAAACAATTTAGTCTGAAAGAGATGTTAATCCAAAACAAACTCAACATAAAAACAATTTAAAAAAAATCATTCTCTAATTGTCTGATTGTCAGACTCTAAGTCAGAGTCTCCCTCAACTATCTAATAAAGAGTCCTCTCTGCTTCAGTTCTGCCTTCTACAACATGCAGTCATTAATTACATTAAGATGGTCCTGGTGTCCACTATAGTTGACATTTAAAAAAGGATGATATTTTGTAACACAAACAATTAAAAAAAAATAAAAAAGTAAAAAAAAGTAAAAAAAAACATTTACATTCCTCTCTCCTTCCCATAAAATTTGCTTGTTTGTATGCTGGCCATTTTGGATGCAGTTTTCCTAGTTTGGCAGCCAACCAAATGACATATCACTAGAAAGCCCAGGATGTCCTCTGCACAGTACAACAGTACTTGACAGAGTAGCTCAAAAAGAAAATTCATGAAAACGCAAGGTCCACTACAGAGGAAGTCAACCGGCATGGTCTCAGGAGTTAATAGTGCTATAAGGATAGCATCTATGTAATATTTTACATGTAATTTCTTTAACTTTGTTCATTAGCAAGTATTTATGTGGATGATTCCAAGTAATGTCTCAATTTATGATAGATGTGGCCTGCCATTAAAAAAGAAGCTGGAATTGTTTTATGGTTAAATAAATTCTGCATCACAGTTATTGAATTTGTAATCCACTATTGATATCCCTTCTTTTGAGATTGGGTTGTTTGGTCTATATGAAGGATCCAAATAAAAAATTTGCATCCTTTCATAAAGTTTTTGAACCATTGGGAATGGCATTAATTACTGTGTTGAATTTTTTTACTAAGGGTTCAAAAAGTTTAGCTTGGAAGGATGGACCATGAGATTGACAGGCAGATTGGTGCAGCGGCAGCAGTAATGTGGTCGATGTACTGGTCCGTTGTGATGAAGAAGGAGCTAAGCCGAAAGGCAAAGCTCTCAATTTACCAGTCAATCTATGTTCCTACTCTCACCTATTGGTGAGCTTTGGATCATGACCGAAAGGACAAAATCTCAGATACAAGCGGCCAAAATGAGTTTCCTTTGAAGGGTGGCAGGGTGCACTCCCATGGATAGGGTGAGGAGCTCTGACACCCAGGAGGAGCTCGGAGTAGAGCTGCTGCTCCTCCACATCAAGAGAAGTCAGCTGAGGTGGCTCAGGCATCTGTTTCTGATGCCTCCTGGACGCCTACCTAAGGAAGTGCTCCCGGCAGGCCCCACCGTGAGGAGGCCTCAGGAAAGACCCAGGACACACTGGAGGGACTATGTCTCTCGGCTGGCCTTGGAACACTTCGTGATTCCCCCAGAGGAGCTGGAGGAAGTGTCTGGGGAGAGGGAAGACTGCTGCTCCCGCGGTAGAAAAATGAATGAATCAAGAAAACTCAGATGACTCTTACTTACCATTTTCATCTAATAATTAATTATATATATATATAAAAAAACAATAATTTAAAAACCATTTCTCGAAATTTGCTTTTGTGAACAATACTTTGGTTGTTCAAATGAAGCCAGAATGTGGTTTTAGAATATGCACGGTTATGAATGAATTATGCATTGCTATACCGTAAAAAAAAAAGATAAGTAAAGCTAAAAAAGCCACCAAAGACGAATTAAAATGGCAGCAAAACATACAACAAAATAAAATAATGAAGTAAATCATCAAAATACATGGGCAAACACACAATTCCAGCAGATTTCTACCTTGTGCAATAATACATTTGGGGAACATTTACAACATACCTAGTTATTTTCATCAAAATGTGCAGTATAGACAGAACAAATAATATATATTATCTGTACATTGGATATGTGTTTATAATTTATATGGTACAGATTTATAATATATGTAGTAATATAATATAAAGTGACATGTAGTAAAATAAATAATAATGATAATAATGATAATAATGATAATAATGGTAATAATAATAATAATAATAATAATAATAATAATAATAATAATAATAATAATAATAGCTATAAAATACACATCCAATCAATTTTACGGATTTTAAATATACGATTTTACAATTTAAATCGAGAGGGCTCAACAATAAACTTAACATTTAAATAAATAAATAAATCGAGAGGGCTCTTATTTGTTGCGAAAGTGCCGCTGTGAAGCAGCTGATAATTTCAGTCAGTGGTGTTCTCACATGTCCTTCACAGTCTGAGCTCTTACATCAAAGGTAGCAGCTTTAATACTTTCACATGCTTTACTTATTTATACGGTTTTTCCCGTCAAAATCTTATTTATCGTAACGCGAATATTAATGCATTCAATTTGAGAGGCATTTCTGCACGGTCGCTGTGATAAATGTACATGATGCTAAAGGCTAATGTAGCCACTCACCTCTCACTGCTCTGAGGCCTTTATTACTAAAGATTCTGCATTTATTTTAGGAGATTCTGCACTGTTTGACAACAGAAAGATTTATGTTAATTGTTTATTCGTCTGTTTTAAAGCATCGTAACGATGGCAGCTCAGGTCACTGAATCAGATCAGATCAAACAGGTAAGAGAAAACACACACACACACACACACACACACACACACACACACACACACACACATGCATATTTATTGAATGTATATAGTTTTGAATTTGAGTTGTTTATTGTATTTTGTAGTTTAAGGAATTCCTGGGAACCTACAATAAACTGACAGAGAACTGCTTCATGGATTGTGTGAAAGATTTCACCACAAGAGAGGTCAAGCCAGAGGAGGTATGTGATTTTATGAAGAATTCAAATGTTTAAACTTTAAATGGCATCAAAATTACCTTTAATCAGTAAAACTTACCCTGCGTCTTCAACAATATCTCTGTAAGCAAGTATTTTTGTTTCTATGGTACAATCCTGGTTCACCACAAACTTCTTGAAATTAAATGACAATAAAACTAAACTTTTACTTATAGGTACACGATCCACTTTAAATAAATCCCATAGTTTTTCCATTTCCACAGAGGATTCTGTCATTACCCCCTCCCTTCAGGTTAAGAGTCTGGGGGTCATCTTCGACAGCACCCTTTCATTCACTGCACATGTTAATAATGTCACCCGGTCCGCCTATTTCCACCTTCGAAATATAAATCGTTTACGTCCTTCCCTCACACCTCACTCAGCTGCCATTCTTGTTCATAGTTTAGTCACATCCCGTTTAGATTACTGTAATTCCCTTCTGTTTGGCCTCCCTTAAAAAAACTCTTCATAAATTACAACTGGTACAAAACGCTGCAGCCCGTATTATCACATAAACCCCCTCTGTCGGTTACATCACACCCATTCTACAACAGCTTCACATCTCTTACAGAATTAATTATAAAATACTTCTTCTCACCTTTAAAAAGCCATCCACAATCTCGCTCCTCCATACCTTGCTAATCTTGTTCATATCGCCACACCTTCTCGAACACTCAGGTCTTCTTCCATTCACCTCACTGTTCCCTCTGTCCGCCTTGTCACCATGGGGAGCAGATCCTTCAGCCACTCTGCTCCTCAGCTTTGGAATTCACTTCCTCCTGTTCTCCGTAATGTAGACTCTTTCACAATTTAAGTCCAGACTCAAAACACATCTGTTTAGAACAGCCTATTCTCTTTGACCCGATTGCATTGTTTTGTATAGTATTCTATTGTTTTTGTGTTTTTATTTGAATTGATTGTTTTACCTGTCCTGTACGGTGACCTTGAGTGTCATGAAAGGCGCCTTTAAATAAAATGCATTATTATTATTTGAAGTCATACATTAAAAGGTTAAACAGTAATAGAAAGAAAAATTAAGACTAAATCAAGTTTAATTGAGTGTTTTTGCAGCTTTTTAAACGTGTCCATGTGTAGACCATTTCAATGTGGTCATGTCATTGGCCCATAAACATTTCCTGCTTGTTGTCAAACTATTTCATAACTGAACAGAGGCAATTCAATCATAGCGTAATGTTAAAACAGCTATTATAACATTATTTGTCAATATTTGTCTCTTTTTAGATTCCTGGAAGCTACAGAAATTAAAAATGTAAAACAGGAAATACGTTGGGACCGTTGTTTTTGTTTACAACCCTCAAAATGGTTTATGATTTAAATGCTAAAACCATTTTGAACAAATCTTTAGGCTTTTTTTTTAATTTCTTACTTGTATACCAAAGATAATACTTAAACTATTTATTGCACAAGAGGCAGCAAGTGTAATGAGTTTTGGACCCTGTGAAACACCACAGCTCTGAGATGCTATTCTCGAGGCATAATTTTGAATGGTGGCTGTGAAAGACCTGTCTGATATGCAAGATGACTCCAAAAATATTTCACTGGTGTGAAGAGGAGATCATTTTGCTTCTTTGTATTACCATTTTACCTTATGGCCACAGCCCAAGACTGGTTACTCACTGAAGCCAAGCAGGGCTGAGCCTGGTCAGTACCTGGATGAGAGACCAAATGGGAAAACTGAGTTGCTGTTGGAAGTGGTGTTAGAGAGACCATCAGGGGGCGCTCAGCCTGTGGTTTGTGTGAGTCCTAATGCCCCAGTATAGTAAATTGGATGCACTATACCACAGGTGTCAAACTCAGTTCCAAAAGGGCCGCAGTTCTGCACAGTTTAGTTCCAACCCTAATTAAACACACCTGATCAAACTAATTGAGTCCTTCAGGCTTGTTTGAAACCTACAGGTAAGTGTGTTGGAGCAGGGTTGGAACTAAACTGTGCAGGGCTTCGGCCCTCCAGGAATTGAGTTTGACACCCCTGCACTATACTGTTAGTGAGCACCGTCTTTCAGATGAGACATTAAACTGAGGTACTGACTTTTTGTGGTCATTAAAAATCCCATGGCACTTCTCGTAATGGTCCCCGTTCTCGTGTAACCCTGGTGTCCTGGCCAAGTTCCCTCCATCGGCCCTTACTGATCATGGTCTCCCAATCGTCCCCATCCACCGAATTGGCTCTATCACTTTCTCTCCACTCCGCCAATAGCTGGTGTGTGGTGAGCACACTGGCACCGTTGTCCTGTGGCTGCCGTCGTATCATCCAAGAGGATGCAACACTGGTGGTGGAGTGTAGAGACTACCCCCCTTATGATTGTGAAGCACTTTGGGTGTATGACCATACACAATAAATGCGCTCTATAAATACACATTACATCTAATCAATTCCTGAGGATAAAATCAAGTCAGTTTTTTTCTTGTCTAACAAGCTGTTTCCACCACAGGAGTGTGAGCTTTAATCCCATTCTGAGACAAAGTCAGAATCAAGTTATTTAAATTTAGAATTGTGGGATTTAAACTTATGAGAATAACATCAGATTTTTTGACCTCCATATTGAAAGATAAGAATTCACTAATTTGCCTTTTTTTTCTCTAATAATTCAGAGGAATAAAAAATGAATTTATATTTGTTAAAATAACAAATAACTATAATATTAAAATGACAAAATAACAGTTATCAGGGTAAAATTCTGTTTCATTAAATATTTAGATTTAAACTTTTTCCTCACAGTTGTTATTATAGTTCAGGGGTCACCAATCTCAGTCCTGTAGGGCCGGTGTCTCTGCTGGTTTAGCTCCAACTTGCCTCAACACACCTGCCTGGATGTTTCAAGTATACCTAACAAGACCTTGATTAGCTTGTTCAGGTGTGTTTGATTAGGGTTGGAGCTAAAATCTGCAGGACACCGGCCCTCCAGGAACAAGTTTGGTGACCACTGCGTTTAGTTGATTAATGACGGTGACACTTTAGCAAGCTTGTATCTCACAGTTTTTGGTAAAACCTCAAGGTTTTACCCCCAAAATCGTCCTTCCACAATACCTGGTTGATCTGAGATTTCAAGATATATCTCAGATCTATATGTTTATCATAAAGTCTGTGTTAAAAATAACTATACATGTCAAAACATTAATAATATATAAATACAAGTTTGGATTTGTTAATTGGCAAGAGAAAAATATTTACAATTTAATTATTATAACAAACATTTTTTGCAATGTTTTTTGTGTCATGTCACCATAAATAAAAAAATAAAAACACTTATTCATTATATGTAAAGCTACATCTTAATTTTAAGTATCAACATTCTTCTAGACCACATGTTCTGAGAGCTGCTTGCAGAAGTACCTGAAGATGACACAGAGGATCTCCATGCGCTTCCAGGAATATCACATCCAGCAGAACGAAGCGTTGGCCGCCAAAGCCGGATTATTAGCACAACCACGATAACAGACTGCTGCTGGACTGAACTCCAGACCATTACGCCAGGCTCTCTGTATTTCCAGCACAGAGCAGGAGTCTCCAAACGGGCCCTCAGAGGTTCAGGACTGCAGATAATACCGGGAGAAGTCCTCTACTGTCTGCCTGCAGATATCTGGACTGATGGGATTTTTGGTTTCCCCCAAATGGAAAGACATTCCTCATTTTCGGGACATTAAGCAGGTCGGCCACATAACATGAAAGATCTTGATTGTTTTTATGTTAGCATGCTACAAAAATAAAATGTTATGAACATCTCATTCCCGAGTAAATTTATTAATAATATATACAAGTATAGGTTGATCAAGAAACAAAAAAAAAATCTGATATTTTCAATTCAATGACAAAAACAATAATTTAAATAAATAACTATATAAAAATTATAGCTATATTTTGTAGTTGAAGTGAAAATATCTACAATCATGCAAATACTTTAAGTTAATTCCTGTAATTATGTATACATGGATTTACATTCACTGGCCACTTTATTAGGTATACCTGTCCAACTGCTCGTTAATGCAAATTTCTAATCAGCCAATCATATGGCAGAAACTCAATGCATTTAGGCATGTAGACATGGTCAAGACGATCTACTGCAGTTCAAATAGAGCATCAGAATGGGGAAGAAAGGTGACTTAAGTGACTTTGAATATGGGATGGTTGTTGGTGTCAGACGGACTGGTCTGAGTATTTCAGAAACTGCTGATCAACTGGGATTTTCACACACAACCATCTCTAGAGTTTACAGAGAATGGTTAGAAAAAGAAGATATCCAGCTGGCGGCAGTCCTGTGGGGGCAAATGCCTTGTTGATGCCAGAGGAGAATGGCCAGATTGGTTTGAGCTGATAGAAAGGTCACCGCTAACTGTTGGCTACTTCCAGCAGGATAACGCACCATTTCATAAAGCTCAAATCATCTCAGACTGGTTTCTTAAACATGACAATGAGTTCACTGTACTCAAATGGCCTCCACAGTCACCAGAACTCAATTCAAGAACACTTTTGGGATGTGGTGAAATGGGAGATTTGCATCAAGCATGTGCAGCCGACAAGTCTGCAGCAACTGCATGATGCTATCATGTCAATATGGACCACAATCTCTGAGAAAAAAATTCCAGTACCTTGTTGAATCGGTCACGAAGGATTAAGGCAGTTCTGAAGGCAAAAAGGGGTCCAAATAATTTCTCTGTATATTTTAATTGGATCATTATTGTGATATCCAACAATTATTGTGAGAAGTGCCATACAAAAAAGCCTGAATTGAATGGATCAACCAGTTAATAGAGAAAAGATCTGAATAACTTCTTAATATTTCACAACTTTATTAGAAATGAGAAGACCTCTTCTTATTTTACATAAAAGTACAATGGCTTTGCTTAGGAACCTAATGCCTTCATTCCTTCATCCAGGAATCTGTAAATAAACTGAAGTCACAGGGAAGCAAGTTCATCGCAGTGAATGAATCGATGCCTACAGCATAAAATGTTCAACATAGTCATCATGGGTCACTCTAGACAGCTTGGGTTTAGGTTCCTAAATGGTTGATTATATACAGAAGTCTAAAGATGTGCTAGTGCTCCTAACAACTGGACATAGAAAAGGAGAAATTAATTAATATACAAAGATGTACGCTTTAAAAAATAATATAAATCCTTTTTACAGTTTGTGTAAAATGTATTTTTCAAATACATGGTTTTTTTGAAAGCTCTATTTACAAAAGGAACAATCAGTAAGAAACCCCTGGGCTTAACGTAGTTGAGAGAAGCAACTCATTTATTTAATTGGTCAAGAATGAAAATAAGAATTCGAAAGTACCAGGTAATAACTGGGAGAGAGAGGGAGAAAAAAAAGGAGCATGTCACCAATTTCTGGTGTTCCCTCAAAGTAGCTTTGGGCCCAAACGAACAAAAAAGAAAGTGGGGAGGATTCGGTTTACTGCACAGTAGTTACCCAAATTGTGACGTCACATTCAGAGAGTTTCAAGACAACCCCACAAATTTGACCCCCCCCCCCCCCCCCCCCCCCCCCCAAGCGAACCGAACGCGGGACAACTGCGATTCTCATCTTGTAAAAAATACAAAAATGCCGCCCGCCGACTGAATAAATATATTTAACAAGTTGCAAGATAATACCTTTTATTTTACACACACAAAAAAAAAATTCAGCGCTAGAAATCTTTCATTAAATAACTTCACGGCTGCGATATAATATTTCGAAATTTTCCATACTAAAAATAAAAACTCTGCGATTACATATAAAAAGACAAAATGCACTTGCAAAGGAAATTAGTCCACTGAAAACAGTTTCATCTCGAGTTCCACTGTAAACATTTCCGCTTTATTTATTACGTTTTTTTCTTTTTATTAAAAACGAGAGACGACAAAAATAGGATTTGCATAATTCTCTGTGCTCGCATACTAAGATAGAAGTGGAAGACGCCGGCTGCAGTTTTCAGTAAACTACATTCCCTTTTGCAACTGACTTTGTCCTGCTTTTCCAAAATAGGGCACTCTGCTGTAACACGTTTTACTTTGGCAGTTCTGATGGAACAAGCGCGCTACAATTGACCTTTCATTGAATAACCATGTCCAGCTGGTTAAGGTGACCATTACCTAGGGATGTGACTGGAGGATTGACTACTGCATCCAAACTCCGGTCTGAAGCAGTAAGAGGAGGTTGCCTGGTCTGTTCAGCGTTTGTGAAGTGAAAAGTGCCGTCGTGTTGCTCTGGATGGATCAATCGTAAGCTTTGATATCATCGATTTACATTCAAGCCCCGCGTGGAGTCCGTTTTCCCGTTTGGTGGAGGCAGGATCAGGTCTGAAAGTGCAGAAGGTGGAGGCGGTGGGCAGTCGAGTGCTGCTGTCAGCGGGACTCTGGGAAGGCGGAGGTGGAGCGGATGCCGCCTGACATCACCTGCACTCCACGGCCACAGTGTTCTGCGTGGGCGAAGCTGAAGACGGACTCATGCCCGTGTCCGAGGAGCCTGATGAGGTGGACGCTGTGGTATGGGACACTGTGGAACAGTAGAGGTCAAAAGGTCAGTAATGCACAGAAGACAATAAATAGAGAAACTAATGATGTAACCATTTCCCAACCCTGTTTCTGGAGGCACACCAACAGTACATGTTTTGGATGTCTCCCTTATCTGACCCATTTATTTGAGGTTTTGTAGTCTCTTCTAGTATTCTGATGAGTTGATTTGAGAAAGAGGTTACAAAAATATGTACTGTTAGTGTGCCTTTAGGAACAGGGTTGGGAAACACTGGTGTAACTAATCTCACTATGGTTTGAGTCACATATCAGACTGTTATAACGATCAGCAAAGATCAGTGATGTGCAAAGGACAACAAATGGAGAAACTAGTGGTGTAACGTAGTGTTTCCCAACCTGGTTCCTGGAGGCACACCAACCAACAATACATGTTTTGGATGTCTCCCTGATCTGACCCATTAATTTGAGGCTTTACAGTCCCTCCTAATGTTCTGATGAGTTGGTTCAGATGTGTTTGATTAGAAAGAGGTTAAAAATGTGTACTGTTGATGTGCCTTCAGGAACAGGGTTGGGAAACATTGGTGTAACGCATTGTTTCTTAACCACATTCCAGGAAGACCACCAGCTCTGCACTTTTTCCATGTCTTCGTAACCGAACACACCTAATTCAGATCATCAGCTCATTAGCAGAGACTGAAAGACCTGTAATAGGTGTGACAGACAAAGGAAACATCCAAAACATGCAGTGCTGGTGGTCCTTCATGAACATGGTTGAGAAACACTGGTGTGACGGATCACAAATCTCACAGTTCGAATCACACAGCGGTTTGTGTCAGTTACTCAGATCAGCAAAAAAGGGAGCAGACAAATGTCTTGAGCTTTCCATGAATTACAAAAAAGTACTGCAAGAAACTTTAGATTCTAACAGAACTTAAATTAAAAATTAAATTAAATAAAAATCAAGAAATAATTATTTTTTCTACTGTTGCTGATAATGCAAAAGATCTTGTACAAATCTTATCTTGTACAAATTTATTTTTAGTCTCATTTTCAATTGATTCAATAATTCACACATAAAACTTCATGTTTCATTACTAGATTTTTGAAAATCTGTTCAGTGGCATTTTTTAAAAAGTTTGTCACCACCTATTGGCTAAATTATGTAATTGCTACAACATTCAACAGCGTCAAGTTGCCTTAAAGGTGATTTTAATCTTTACCATAAACATCAGTGTTAATATCTAGACTATAGGCTGTTCTCCCAGTACATCTGGGTTATTTGATTGTTTGAAACTAACTGAAAAGTGTTAAAAGTGAACCTCAAATGATGAATACATGTATGCAAATCATCATTTATAATCTTGGATTAATCGGCAAGTTAAAAAAAATAAAAGTTATTAGTATGTGAATTGTGCATTTCAAACCGTAGGGCGTGATCCATTAGACCCCCAGAAGAAACCCAAATATTAAATGTTTACTAAATTTAAGTATTTATTTGTATTGTTTTTTTTTTTAAACATTTGTCAAACCTGATAAACAGAAAAAAGCATGAAAGGACATGAGATAATTGTTGAAGCCATGTTTTAAAATATTACTTGAGTTTTGATTTGTTGTTCAATTTGTTGGTTGTAAACATCAAGGCATGGCAAATAGGAAGGCAGTATGCCAGAAGTGGGTCAAACAACCACTTTTCGAACTCTACATACATTTTCGTTAAAAGATACGATTGTTTTGATATAATTTGTATCTTACTTTTAATGCATTTTTTTGTTAATCAATTATTTATCAAATAAACAAGATCGAAAACTGAGTGAAATGAACTATTTAAAACCAAGTCTGCTACCATACTGTGATCAAATCTAATAAAACTAGAAACAATGATAATAATGTTGCTGGTGCTATTAATGTCAATAATCACATTTTATTACATTATTTTAAGATAAAACAGTATTTATCTTTTTTTTTTAAAGTATCAAAAGAAAACATAATTATTTCTATCATTTGAAAGTCTCAGAATATTTAAATATTGGACAATCATAATTAGTATTCTTAATATAGCAGAAAGTATTGTATCATTTGAATATTGCACAATTATTTTTGAATGTTGTACATTAATTATTACTATCAGCACTACCAACTTCAAACAAATACCCATTTACTAACAATGTAATTTTTTTTAAATATCCAATAATGTCTTTAACCTACCATTATCGTTTTAAAGCCTCACAATATTTGAATACTGTACACAACTAATATTATTATCATCATTAATATATTTAGTATAATTAATTATCACAAATAATTATATTATTCTTATTACCTATATTATTTTTACATATATATATATATATATATATATATATATATATATATATATATATATATATATATATATATATATATATATATATATATATATATATATATATTAAATCCTAAAATGTAGTAGCAGTATTAATAATAGAACTTTTTGTAAATATGATGGTATTATACACATTATTATTGCTGTTTTTTTTATTTCTCTAATAAAAATTTAATTGTTGTAATTCAATGAAGTATTTAAATAATTGTATATATTTACCTTCTCTTTCCTTCTTTTTTAACCTTTTCCGCCTCCTGTCGATGGAAGCCACTTCAGACTTGAGTGACATGTAATATTTCCTGATTTCCTGTAGCTTGTCTTGCAAGAAAGAAATGCGCTCAGCACTTGACATGTTGTCCAGCTCAGCTGTAATAAAAAAATAAAGCACAGAAATCAGTCAGGAGAGGATGTGCAGATTGAATGAATCCATACAAGACTGTAATATTTCCTGAAATCTGCATAAATCTGCTGGTGTACTTCAGTTTGTTCTCTGAATTAGTTTGAAGTTATTTCTCCAGCAGAAACTAAAAGTTCTTTTTGAGATTGCTTTGGCAGTTCGAAACCTCTCACTAAAGTAAACTTTTGGGGTGACCTTTGAGCCACCATTGGTTTGTTCTGGAATTTTTTCCAATTGGTTTCTCATTTAACAGAGGTCAGACAGAAGAACAACATCCAAAATAAAAACACTAGCCACACGAATACACTGGAGAGTCGAGTAGCAGAGCTGGTAGAGATGTACCATCTTAAAATACTTACTGCAAACCTCGGCAGCAAAATTCACTGTCTCACCCCAGCAAATAGAAAACAATAGTAAATACTGCAGTGGAGCTTCTCGTAGAGAAAACAGTTTTCCATATATTCATGAATCGGTTCTTCTCTCAGATTTCATCATTGTGTTTAGGGGTTCATGTGAGCAGTGTGACCCCTTTAAATGAATAAGATACATCTCTAGAAACTTTACAACTGAAAATATGAACATTGTGATTCAAGTCTGATAAAGTATTGGACGTGTCCAAATGTTTCTCTTTTTAAATACGGAACTGCTTTGAGTTTGAAAATAATTGTTTAAGTTATTAGGAATAGGAATAAGTTACTGTTTATCAAGAAAATGTTTGCAACCTTTTCACTTATCAAGTTTATTTCCTCAATAGTGATTTTTTTCTTTGTTGCTGCTATGAATATAAATGTATATTATTTGTTCTGTGAATGTTCTAGCATGAGTAAAATTCTTTATTATGAATGCAGTCAGTTTCATCATTTATTATTTACTGATCCATAAATGTTTTTTTTAGTTTCTTCATTTGGATGAAATAAGACTATTAGACAGTGTCCTGCCGCCACCTACTGGGTGGTTTTAATACAATATCTATTTAAAATTTTAATACATCATCTAATACAGTGGTTCTCAAAGTGGGGGTCGGGACCCCCCGAGGGGTCGCGGGGCAATGAAGGGGGGGGGTCGCCTGGTGATTTCCAAAAATCTATTTATTTTTATTAAACCATAAGAATTAACATATTTTATCCATAACTATACTGAAAATAAAAATAGGCGTTTATAGTTACTATATACTATATAGTTACTATAGTAGCTTATAGTTACTAGTTCTATTGGATTGCGACCCCTAGGGTAATTACATTATATTAAAGGCAGCAATAGCGTCAGATGCATTTTGATTTTATAACATCAGGTTATACTTTCTGGCACATTTAAAGCACTGACACAAATTCAATTGGTGTGTGTGTGCCATTGCATGCAAGGTTTCTGTATTTATTACCACCTCAGAGGATATTGGGGGTCGCGAGTCACTGGCATTGTTATTTTGGGGGTCGCGGGCTGAAAAGTTTGGGAACCCCTGATCTAATAGACCGATTAATCATGTGATTAATCTGACTTCATGTGTAATTATATGTTCCTCTGTTTTTGATGACTAGTCTATTTTTGGGCTAATCTTTTACGTCTATTAGATTTTAGCCTGGTTTTAGCCAAGATATACGTCTATTAGACATCTTTTAAAGACTATAAATGCTTTTGTGTATGGTTATCAGTGTTTCTCAAAGTATAATAAACCTAAAGTATTCTATATGCAAGCCAATCTTTGACAAATATCAACTTGGATAAAGTAAAATTACAGATCAGTTGCCGCTTGGATATTACCAAAAGCTTGGACAAAAATAAAATTATTGCCACTTGACAAAATCCAAGCTGTAAAGTCTGCTGAGATGAAAACACATCTACTAAAGTTCAGCAAAGCCATGACTATTCATTCATTAATTTTCCTTCGGCTTAGTCAGTCTTATTTATCAGGGGTCACCACAGCGGAATGAATCACCAACTTATCCAGCATGTTTTACACGGTGGTTGCCATTCATACTGCAACCTAGTACTGGCAAACACCCACACCAAAGCCATAACTAAAATGTGTCAAATTATTTTGGATGTTTGGGGACTTACTGAGTTGGCAGGACCACTTATATGTGCGGGGGGACGGGACGGACTGCTTCTCTTTGTGCTTGTCTTTCTCTATATATTTATTGCTGGGAGAACCCAGACCAGGTGACCGAGAAAGCTTTTGGTTCTTGGGGAGGATGGAGTGCTTGACTGGGGTTAGTTTATTAGAGCCGTCCATCACAGACTGGTCTTCACTGTCGCTACTGTGACCTAGACACAAAAAGAGAGATCATCGAAATTACTCAACATAAACCAAGCAGATGAAGGATAAAAAAATAAATAAATAAATTGATACACCATGGTTTCTGCTACATTCATTCTTCCATGTCGGGGCGCCACGCAAAAATTGATCCCCCCACAGCTACATTACAGCTTTTCATTCAAAAGATCAGTCATGTTTTTTTAATAGCAGGTGATAATCGCACCAAAACATAATAAAAGGTATGTGAATTATAACAAAGCAAACTTTTTTTTAACTGCAGTAGTGCTGTGCGTCATTTGTTTAACCCTTTAAGGTTACGTGCTGACTGACTGACTGACTGGTGCGTGATGCATGAGGCCAGCAAACATGACGTATAGCCATGTCACTTTACTTCAGGACGCATTAATACCGCTTTGTAGGTCTATTGGAGACATTCTTAAATATTCCTAGCAAATCTAATTAATGTTGAAGACATACTCGTTACATAAACGCACTAAAGCTGCGGTCACACTGGGCTTTTCCTCCCATAGACTTCCGTTCATACGCACGCAAATGCATCAGACCGGAAATGCAGGGTCATGCGTTAAGTTTCAAGGGTGCTGCGGTGCAAAGCTTGGTAAACTCTGACCTGCAATATCGCATCACTTGACTGCGTGAGAACAATCGAGGATGAAAACATGACCTCTCTGGACAGAAATTTAAAACATTGAGCAATCGCTTGCTTTTTTAAATGTCTAATAAGCTTGTTTAATCACGCCCCTTTTCGCAGCGCCGCATGACAGAATATCGCATGCTCAAACTCATGTGTGACTGCAGCTTAAAATCGCAATTCAACAGCGTTTATTTGAGAGTGCACAGATCTGCGCTTGTGCATGAGTTTTGTGCACGAGCAGAGGAAATTGGTGCGCAAGCAAAGAGATTCGCATGCTCGTAGGCTATTATTACATAAATGCGATCTCGATTTGTAATACTGCGCTCACGACATTTGTCATTGAAGTAACGCCACAGGTCGTTGGTACAGCTGTGTAAAAAAGGCCTGCCGCCACAGCGTGAAAAAATCCTAGAGGAAACACTGTACACGGTTAAAGGGTAAATCAGCCATAAATGAACATCATCCATCATTTATTCTGCCTCATATGGTTTTAAACCTTAATGAGTCTTTCTTCTCTTGAACACTATTTGTTTATTTAGTTATGTTTTAATGCTATATCAGCAACACTGGCTGTATTCATGGCAAAACCTCTACTAAACACAATATATAACAGGGAATCATATCATATTCTTATTAAACATTCATTGTACAAAAAAACAAACAAACAACAACACTGAAAAGAGTCATGTACAATCTTTTAGCTCGATTAATGATGAATGTTCTGACACATTTCCCCTAAAATAGTTGCTGAATTATTCCTGAATGCTTACTATTATACGTTTATGGGCAGTATGTCAAATTTATGGACACACACACACACACACACACACACACACACACGCACACGCACACGCACACGCGCAGCAGGACAGAGGTGCGCCAGTCACTTTATCCAGTCACGGGTTCTCAACTGTCCGCCACATTCTGTCTTTATTTTATGCACTGTTTGTCAAAGTTATCTGTAGCTGGACTGACTGCCTTCTATATTTAGCTTTTCTCTTTCGTACGGTGGCTCTGAACTGTCAAAACACCTCTCAAAGTGCTCTTTCAGAAGCAAAAAAAATAAAGGACAAATTCTAATCCAGTTTCTAATCCAATTTTTTTTTTTATGATTGACATGACTTTGAGGCAGTATGTGAATACGATTAAGTCTTGAGTGACCGATTCTACAACTCATGTATAACCTTCATGTTCATTTACAAATGGATTCAATTTATAAAATTTGTTGTTTCTACATTAATTTCTTGAACACTAAATAAGATATTTGGAAGAAAGCTGGTTGCTGGCACCCATCAACTTCCATAGTATTGTTTTTCCTACTGTGGAAGTCAATGGGTGTCGCGTACCAGAAATCATATTCAAAAGATATTTTTTATTCAACAACAACAACAAAAATAAACAAACAAACAAATAGACAGATAAGCAAATTATCATTTTCAGTTTTGGGTGAACAGTCCCTTTAAAGATTCACTGCTGACAAATAGATCTTCTAAAGGTTAAAATGTTGAATGCGAGAAGTCAAGCAGAGGTTAATCAGATAGCCAAGAGAAGCATAACATCACATGACATCAGTCAAATTTGCGAAACCATTCTCTGGTATCATCACTTTTGTCCCTCTTTTCGCTTGTCATTAACTTTATTCCATATTCATAAGAAAATAAATAAATAAAATAACCTTACATGATGGGCAACAAAACAAAAAGGAAAAACACAAAGGCAAGCTAAACCCAAACAAACCAGTTAAAAGCCATCAAGAATTGGACCGCAATCTAAAAACCTTTCAAGGATTTTAAATTTGTCTCAAAACACTCACCTGCTCCATTCTTCTCTGTTTTACAACCAACGCTTGAACGTTTCTGGCTCCGTTTTTGCTTCTTGGACGAGGAGACTGTAGTGCAATCCAATAACCTCTTCTGACCTAAAAATACAAACAAGTATCAAACAGTTAAAAGACAGTTAGGGAGTAGAAAAATGTAGAAAATAAGAAGTGTAGCAGTTGTTAAAAATAAGATATTGCTGAGCTTTATCAGCATCTGGTATAAGGTGCTTACTCAAAGCAGTGCAAGTCTAAATACACAACAAAAAAAACATTAAGAAAAATATCATGTAATCTATATCATTTTAAAGGGTGCCCCATTTGAAAAGATTTTTGTTTTTGTTTTAGAGGTGTCCTGCAAGTTTTTACTCATTCATTGTAAAAAAAAAAAAAAAAAAAAAAATTTAAACTAATAAAAACTGCAGCATGTCTGAAGCGGCTAGTCTCTTAGAGTTTCCTCTTTTCCTAAAGTCTACTATGATTGAACAGGTGGCCCCGTATGTTGTGATTAGTCTACTTCCTATAAAATGAGTCAATCTCAGAAGCTTCCTCAGCACTTGTTAACAGTGATATGAACAGTCATTGTTTTGTTTTTTTTGTTTTTATATCTGGACATTAGATGCAAAGCAGATTTCTTTTCACAGTGGATAAAACAGCAGCATCGCGACAGCACAAAGCACTCTTCTAGCTAGGCCTGAAACAATAATCGATATATGGACTTATCGCACAACACAGACATGACCTCTGTCATTTTTGGTGATCCAATATATCACCCATACATGAAAAATAAAAAAAATTCAAGCAACATTTTAGCTGATTGTGTAACATCTCTCTCTACTGAAGGTGTCAGTGACAGTATGGTTAAAAAAACTCTTGTGTTTACTATAGTATATTTTCATGTGGGTGTCTGAAAATTGAAACTAGATCTGGTAGCAGATATCAGTCTCTGTTACTTTTTACCTTGCACTTATTGTTAATTATTATTATTTATTATAAATTTAGGTTATGCATTTTTACATTGTGATTCCACTGCCTAAATATTAAATGACTATAATTAAATGAAATGTTCTTAAGAATATAATGTGTCCTTTGGATAAGTGTAATTGCATTGTGATGCTGTTATATATACAGGGCTCGAAATTGCGACCATTTTGGTCGCATATGCGCCCGAAAATTAATCTATGCGACCTCATAATATGTCTGGGAGCATTAGTGCGACTGCAGATAATGGTTGTAGTGTGACCTGTTTTGGTTTTTTGTAAAAACGTGCTGAATCGCTCTTCCCTGCCGCTATATTGGTTCATATTAGCTGTCATTCACTCAAGGTATTCCGCTGTCAGATGACAGGGAAGGAGCTTTTATGACCACGGGAAATACAAACGGCTGAAGAGTAAAAACTTAAAGCACACAGGTTTGCAAACCCCACCTAAAGTTGAGGCGCAGATGAGAGCGATCACAACACGTCACGTGGTGAATAATGATCCGCCAGCTGTGATCAATCGAGTACGCGCTTCTTGGAGAAGGTGCCCAAATCTCCATGCGTTGCATTCACTGCGTGTTCAGCGCAAATGTCCGCTAAAAGTCAAATCTAACACTGTACATATCATCTCCGAAGAAGCTTGCCTTTACTAAGTTTACACTGAAACTGCGGCTCATAACAAAGACCGGTATTGGGCCGGTGGTCAGCGCAAGAATCCTGCTCTGCCTGCTCATAAATTGGGTCGGCTGACTCGCCAGCTTTTCCACAAACACAGAAACATGAAGATCAGCTCAGACTGAACCTTTAAATTGACACAAACTGAAACCAAAACTTTTAAAGAGTGATAGAAGTGAGACTTTACTTACTTTCTTTTGTCTATTCTTGTTTGAGGTGTGTATTATTTTTTTATTTATTTACTTATGACTGCTTTGCAGCTTTCATCATTGAATTGAATCATTTATTATAATCTTTTGTTTGTTTTGTTGCAGAAATATTATTTATTAAATTGACATGCATGTAAAGACAGCAGCACAAAATACATTTTTCTTACTGCAATGCTTCATTTTTGTTTGATGCAAACTATACAATTATTTTTCATAAAGTAACTGACATTTCATAGCAGATAACATACATTCATGCACATTCAAGGCAGTATCATAATGAGAAATGGAATTCATTGTTACGATTATTGTCATTTTCATCATCATTAATATTATATGGCCTAATTATTAGACATTCATTTTGGAATTATTGCACACAAATATCAAAGTCTTCGCAGCATTAGTTAGATAGTTGTTTCTGGTTTTTGTCAGTGCTATTAATGTTGTTTTAAAATACAATAAATCCCTTAAAAAACAATTTGCAGCGGTGCTCATTCATTTTTGGTTGGTGCTCCTAAATTTTTTCTGGTGCTCCTAAAATTTTTTTGGTGCTCCTAAATATTTGAAGTTGGGAGCACCGGTGCTACCAAATAAAAAAGTTAATTTCGAGCCCTGATATATATACACAATTAGTATAAAATGATCTTGAAATGACAATAATGCAATATATTTTGGTGCAATATATAATACAACAACAAACAAAAAAAAGGATATTGTGAGAGCCCTACTTTCAGCCCTCAGATACAACTACAGTGCTTGAGGGTCAAAGTGGACGTTGACAGCTAATGAAAACAAGAAAGGAACCGACAACTTGTTTTAAGCAGTTCAAAGTATTTTCTTTCTAGGTAGACAATAACTGTTTATCCAGCATTTTGATATTTAGGCTACTTTCACAGGGCAATGATCATGTTCTTTTCTGCTCTTTTGTGGATTCTAAAAGTGTCTTTTCATGACAAAAACAAGATATTTTGATGAATTCTGGTAGTATTTTTTTACATAAAAATATGCAAGTCAATGGGTGCCAGCTACCAGCATTATATTAAAATATCTTCATCTGTGTTTAACAGAACAACTCAAATAGTTTTTGACCGAGTGAAGGGTGAATAAATGGCAGAATTTTCAGTTTTGGGTGCACTGTCCCTTTAAGGATTCACTGCTTACAAATAGATCTCCTAAAGGTTAAAATGTTGAATGCGAGAAGTCAAGCAGAGGTTAATCAGATAGCCAAGAGAAGCATAACATCACATGACATCAGTCAAATTTGCGAAACCATTCTCTGGTATCATCATTTTTGACCCTCTTTTTGCTTGTCATCAGTTTTTGCTTGTTTTTTTAAAAATCTGTTTAATTTTAGCTACAAGTACAAAATGACATTAAAATAATAATTGTTACACTGCATTATTGTTTTTTGACCAAGTGCATTCAAAATGTTCTGTATTTTTCTCACTCTCTAACCTACTATCAAAAAAAAATGTTTCAAAAGGCACAAACAATGTAAACAAAGGCCAAAATAATACTAAACTTTTATATAAAACTTTTATATAAAACTAAACTTTTATAACTTATATATATATATATATATATATAAAAGCATTATCACTCGAGTAGCAGTGCGATATGGCTGTATATCGGCACTGTTGGGAGGTGTGCGTTGGCATGAGACCGCAGGCCGAGTGCCTTAGTCCCCCCCACCAGTGCCGAGATACAGCCATATTGCACTGCTACGAGTGTGATATTGCGTTTATACAACAGTTTGACGGCATATTGTGTATATAAAAGCAAAATGAAACATGGAGAGTCTCAAAAACCCTTTTGTACGAGGAACTACTTTCTTTCTGATTCAAATCATAAGCTGACAGTTAAACAGTTAAGCGTGCATCTTTTAAACTTTAGAGCTTTAGAGTCTGCTTTTTGCTGGCTGTATGTGGGCAGAGTAATACACAAAGGGTGAAGAGGCTGTAGGAGTTCTGATATTGCAGAATATCGCACGGCTATCAGCCAATCAGATTTGAGAACCAGACAGAACTGTTGTGTGTGTATATATATATATATATATATATATATATATATATATAAAAACTATTCAAAGAATAATTCAAGCAAAAGCAGTGACCATTGCCGCTTACAAAAGGAATTTTTTTTTTTTAAATCTTGAGCTCTTGAAAGCAGCAGGACTGTGGGTGCACAAGCATCGCTTTTTGTTCAGTCTATTTCAAAGAGAACTGATTGCAGAAGTTGCGTTTCCTCTAGACGCAAGTAAACGACAGCGCACATGCTTTTGAAGAGTCGCAAACATCATCATCCTCTCATTCCGTATTCACTTGCTTTCTTTTACTCACGTGAACACAGTTTTGTCAGTCGTGCTGCTTCTCGATTCGAAGATAACATTTGCATGCATATTGGGCCATGCTTATTGTCGAACCCTGCTTTTAAAAAAAAACTACAATTTAAAAATTATTTTCAACCAGCCAAAGTGGCTAGTCGCGGTCTAACCCACCACAGCTGAAATCTACCCACATTTGGTGGGTTTTAATGTCATGCCCTGTTCACTACTACTATCTCACTACATTATTGGTCAGATTTAAAATAAGATTTTTAAAAATCAAGAATTTCTCGGTTTTTTTGTGATGTTTTTTAACAGCTGCACAGTACAATTGTTGAAATAGCACCATGAACAACCTTTATTTTAAACAGAATTCAAGCACTATGTTTGTTTTTAAGTGCTTTCCACGCCATGAATCCATGTCTGAAATTAAAGTACTTTCAAGAAGCTTGGGAACCCTGATTAAGAGTCGTAAACTAAAATCAACAAAACAAGCACCAAGCTTTAACTTACCTCTGTCCTTTCCATCTCGATCCTGGAGTGAGATGCTGGAATTACTCGAACTAGCACTAGCATCAAAGCTATGAGTCGATTCATTCTCTCCGAGACCCTCTTGTGATTCTGCCACACTGTCCACTTCAATGGTAGCATCGCTCTCGCTCTTAGTGCTATGAGATTCATCTGGGCTGGGGGCAGAGGATGGGGAAAACAGACGCGGTGGTCCCACTGCTGGTAGGACATGAAGGTGGTCAGGAGACTCCAGAGGCTGAGGCAGAACTTTCTCTTCCTTCATTATCGGCAACTCTTCACTAGAGGGCTTGTCCTTCTCCTCTGGATCGTCTAGATCTACTTCATGGCAGACCAGCGCCTCAGGGCCAATTTGAGGCATCATTTCCTCGTTTGCCACTGTTGTTGGATCCTCCAGGTCTGGACAAGGAGCTTCTAACTTGAGGTGCACCTCTCTGGTAAGAGAAGGCATCTCAGACTTAATCTCTACCTCTTTGCTGGGAGATGACAGCGTTGGATTGGGTGGTTCCTCAGGTTTCTGCACAATCTCAGTCCTCTTTTCTGACTCGGGTTTCTTTTCTAGTGGTGATGTTTTAACAGGAGAAGGTGTTTTAGGTTCTTCTTTTCTGTCCAAGCGAATTTTCTTTTCCGGCGTTCGCTGTTCATTGATTTTGCGTTTCGCTGCACTGGTTCGCTCTGGAGGGTCGATGTCCTCTGTTGCAGAGTCCGTGTCTGAGCCAGCCGTCTCCACCAGCTTTATTCTCTCTACAGGACTGCTGTGTGGCGTTTCCTGTGATTTCTTCACAGGTCGTGGTGGAGTGGAAGGTTCCTCTGTCTCTGCGTGGTGATTAGCAGCGGCGGGTGTTTGCGTGGGAGTCTCTGATCCTGGTTCTTTTAAACGAGGCTTCTTCGCTGTCATTTTTGGAGATCCAACGTCAGACTCAGTAGGGGGCATGGATGAGTCTTCTTCGGGTTTACTTTCACTCTCATTGAAGTTGGGCATTTCCTGAGGACTGCTAGGAAGTTCAGGCTCAGTCTGTGCTGGTTCTTGTGTTGTGCTCTCCTCTGGGAGATCATCAGCTGCCTCTTGTTTTGCTATTGGTGGTGGATCAGTTCTCTCAGTCCACTCCTGCTTCTTCTCAGGAGATTTCTCACCCTCGCTATCATCTGAAGAGTTCCCAGAATCTAAAAGTGTCCAAAATATACAAGCATGAAAAGTTATTTTTAAAAGCTGTAAATGCTACTCAAAGTTAGACACCAACAGATGTATTAAATAAAGCATATTAAGCATGTGATCAGAAACGGCCACAAATATACTGTGGGCTCAAGAGATACAGCCACTAGATGGTGCTGCTAGCTTTTGCAGTGCTGTCTGCAATAATCTACATGAATAGTGCACAAGACTTCAAAATTACAGAAATGCACTTATAAGTGTGGTCAGTGCCCATACCTATACTAAAACACTGCAAATTCAAGGTCATTTTATAAAGATCAAAAAACAAAAATCTGTTAATATCTTATAACTGCTATTGACGTGCTTTCTGAGCCAACAATTTAAAAACAATCAATAGATCAGAGTAGATTATTCAAATAGGGGTCGGAAAAGAACTTGCACTGAAAAATTATGCAAGACATTTTCATGACAGAATCAGCATTTGCGTACTGCTTTAGAACTCATCAACTTTTTATATTAGAGTTGGCTTTTCCTTTCAGAAAAAAAAAAATCTTCAGATACAGACAGCTTGATGGTGCTTGGATTTTTATTAGTGCCATTCTGATGCAAGCAGCTCGTACCATTAGATCCTCTATCAGAATCATACATCCCGGAAGTTCTTCTTGTTCGTCGTCGAGGAGTGCCTGTCCAAAGATTTCAAAGAGTTAGTAAAACCACAAGCCAAGATCACTAAACAAATACAATTCATACTGGCAAAACAACCCTTGAACTAAAAGGTTCAATTTTCCCATTTTAAACTCTTCCTAATTAAACACACCTGAATCAACTCATCAGAACATTAGAAGAGACTCCAAAAGCTGAAATTAGGAGATGCATGCAGCTGCAGGCCCAGGTTTGTATTATTAAATGATCCATCTCAAAAATGTCCACAAATTACATGTACAGTATTTACTAAATAAATACTGCAAATACACAATTCGATAAATTGATCAATATTATGAACCATTACGAGACATTTAGTTTGCGTTTGTTCAACCTAATGTGTTTTATTAATGTCTACGCTTACCCCTTACAGTAACCTGTTGTTTGACTGACCTTCACTCCCACGCCAACTCTAAACCTACCGCTTACATTACACAAAAACGACCCCAGATATATGTGCGTTTTCTCAGTAGCTGCAGCTGTAACACTTCTACTCAAAGCGCAAGTCCCACACACAAATCAAGATCTGTGTCAAGGACTCAACATTTTCTGATGTCTGTATTGAACTGTAATGTCCCTCCTACTTGGAAGCTTGAATCTAGTGTGGCCTGAATCTTAATAGTGATCATCATATGGCGAAATTAAATGTAGCACAAAATTGAGCAGAGGTATCAACAACCTTCCAGTCACCAGACCTAGATTTCTTCTTCAAGTTCAGACGCAGAGCAATTGACTCGGGACAGTCTTACCGTCTCCATTTGGCAGGGCAGAGGCATCTGTGGGCCGCGAGTTTTTACTGCTGGACCGACCCTCGCTGCTGGGGGTTTTGCGAGAGGTGCCAGGAGGGGTGGATTTGAGTGGAGGACGACCTCTTCGAACAACAACTTTAGTCTTGTCCTCCTCTTTTTCCTTTTCTTCGTCTTCTTTATTCTATTGTGAAAGGGAAATAAAAATATCACTGTCAAAGGCTGTCAAAAGAGAAGTCTTGTTTTTGTTTGTAAGATGGATCGGTCGCTCACTTTCACTTTTTTCTTTTGTTTTTTCTTTGTTCCACCCTTATCGACAGGCCATATTATTCGATCTGCCTTGACCCATTCGTCATATCTGTTAGAGACAAAAACATTTCTTGAATGATTTTGTCATCATTCACAAGTCAAATAATAAATCAATTCGATCATTTAAACAGACCTGAACGTTTATTAACAGAAATATTGTCTGTGAGGTTTCAAATTTAACCCATTAAATCTTTTATATTAGACTTGCTAATGGTAACAGATTAAAGTGTAGTATAATCCATGTCAAATGGAAGGAGCTAAATCAGACAGCCAAGAGAAGTGTAACATCACATGACATCAGTCAAGTTAGCGAAACCATTCTCTGGTATCATCATGTTTGACCCCATAAGTTATAGATTTTTAGCAGCACTGTGGCGTTAAATAATATTATGTAATATTTACATGAGAAATTCAGTCATTTCCTCATGTATCCAGACATTTGCACATTTAAAATTGTACATATCCATTGCACAATTAATCTTGAATAGTACATATCCGCTGCACATATACATTTGTAATTATGTTCATATATATCTGCATACTTCTGATTATTATTAGCAACCTATAGACATGTTCATCTACTGTAAATCTCTGATACTAGTTAATACAACATGTATATAATGTTCATAGTACATCCATCTGTAAATATCACCCATAGTTTTTTCTACAATTGTCACTGTATGACTTATACCTGTATCCTGCACTTGCTGCTATTGCACTCAAAGTTAGACCTAAACTGCTTTTCATTGCCTTGTAATTGTACATGTGTAAAGTTGAATCTAATCTAATCGTTTATTACAGTCCATTGAAATAAAAATTACACATCAAATGCAGTCGCACATCAACTCCTCACCTCACATTCCAGCCATAGTAATGCACCAAGTAAAGAACCTCTCCATCATCAGTCTCAGTGTTCTTGATGTTGGCTTCATAGATCTTCTGCGTCTTCCCCTTGCCGTATTTGACCCTGACTTTAGTACCAGCCAGAGAATGCTCAGAGTCTTCACAGCCATCACCCTCCTCTCTCTCGTCTCTGTGAAATAAACGCAAATGATTTTGTTCTTTATCCAGACAGATTATTAAAATCATTAAGACTTTGCTAAATTATATGAATGGTATTTTCTTTTTTGATTACTCTTCATGGTTTGCATATTAAATGCCATGAACATTTCTATAATATACCAGGGAAAATTAAGATTTTTTTTTTAAAAATCACAAAAAATATATATATATATTATGAGGATATCATAGTATTATTGTATAATATTGTGAGAGAGGTGAGACACATAGGCATGGGACTACAACAGTTTTCAAGGTATACCGCAGTTAGGAAAAGTCAAGGGTTTAAAACAGTCAAAATATTCTGCAATACCGTTCCTAAGGTATGTGTACAATTTTTTTTTTTTTAGGACAACAATATCTCCGACAGAAAAGATATCTAAATATGCTGTTTAAAATTTTAAAAATAATCCAATTCTGAAACAAAGACGGCAGAAGTCAATAATTAATTTAGCCTGACATGTTTACTCTTCTTAATTATTTTAAATGTTTCTCTAAATACAATAGATTGTGTTCAAAGGGGAAAAAAAAAAAAAGTTTTAGTTTTTTACCCAGACATTTAAAAAACATATTTTAGAGCAGTAATTAGAATACAGTGATATTTTTATCCAAGGTTATCATACCATCAGAATCTTTTATCAGCCCTTGCCCAGGGCCAGACGGAATCTGCGGACGTTTTTTGCCATTTCTGCGGAGAATTTTGGTAAAAATCTGTAGATTTCTGCGGAATTATGTTGGGAGTATCCAGCGGAGTATCAGAACTTACACCTTAATATATTAAATAAAAAGTAATAAATTACTTAAAAAAACTGTATAAATTCAGATTTACACATTTACTCAAGTAAATAAAAATAATTAATAAAGGGCTAAAAATCTGCGGAATTCTACGTGCGCAGATTCCGTGTGGGCCTACCCATGCCTAGAGACGCATGTAATTAGCATACTAAAACAAGGGAGGCGAGACATGTGGTTGTGCGAGTAAAAATGTTTGATACATTCAAGAAGCATGTCTTCTCTGAGCAGGTCAAATAACAGTGCATTCACACCTGTTTTGTTCTGAAACAGGGATTCAAATGGTTACAATGTTACTTTTTGTTCTTGGTGTGGTTCAAAGTGTCTGAACAGACCAAAATAGTTAAAATATGTCAAGTGTGAGTAAACTCTTCTCACATTGGTCATAGTTTAAGGTTTTTTAGGGTCCCACGGATTCCGCTCAGCTGTCATAATGCTCATCATCACAATTTAAAATAGCGACCTTAAAACATAAGCGAAAAAGTGCACTGATTTTGAATTGTGACACCCACAGACACCGTCACCAAATAAAAATTAGACTTTCTAATCAATCTATTGCCCGTCAGTTTTTGAAACATTTAATTAGTTATTTTAAAATAAGATTAAGACATTTAATAACTTTTTTAATTATTAATTATGAGCTTTAAAAAAAAACATTGGCTAGAATTATGCATTATAGACTTAAATTATGGAGAGAAATAACAGATGAACCAGGAATGCAGACAGATCATGAAGCAGATCAATGTTGATCATTCTATCAAGGTGTCAATGCAGAAATGACCAAAATAATTTGTCTAATACAAAATATTGTAAGATTAAATTATGGAAAAAATATCAGATGGTAACTGCAGTCAGTCAATTGTCAATATTAACAATATCGTGTTAATATTTCAGCATGGTTTCACTTTCGTATTTGACATTAAACTCACATTTACCGATATGACATCCCACCCTACTCATTCTCATAGCCATATATATATTACATATCCATAATACAGTATATAGCCTGGTTTGTTGGGTGTTATTTTTTCACTACAATCGATCCACTCTAGAGTTCATTCGATCCACAATCGAGCCGAGACCACCTCATTCAGGCCGTCTCAAAACGAATGTTTTGGTGCAGATCAGAGTGCGATTGCTGAATTCACACATGCCAAATGAACTAAGCTAAAGGGGTAAATGCATCAAGTTCCGAAACAAACGTCTAGGTGTGAAAGTACCCTTAAAGGTTTAGTTCATATCTGACTGACTGTATTAAATGACAAAAGTGATACATGAAGTTTAATCATGATATCGAACACATTGAATCATAATCAAACCATGAAACTACTGTTGGTTCAAACCACTAATATTTACACTTGTATAAGAATTTATGAATGCTAAAAAGAAAATTCTAAGAAGCTTTGGCTCTGTAGAAATGGGGTTCATTCAATTTTTTTTTCAGTTTAAATGCAGAGATTAATCAGACAGCCAAGAGAAGCGTGACATCACATGAAATCAGTCATGCAAGCGAAACCATTCTCTGGTATCATCATTTTTGACTCTGCTGGAACAGGTTCAATTCCCAAGTTTCAAGCCTTATCACACGCATGACAGTTTTCAATTCAAATGCTCCTCAAGAGAGTCATTCAGAGCTTAAATGACATTCGGTACAGCATTTCAGGTCTTGTGTCATCAATTAGAACATTGAAATATTTCTATGGTAAAGCACAGACTATGCTTGCTGACATACCGTTCCCTGAGTCTGGATCTTTCAAAATAATCCTCTTCCTCGTCGTCGTCGTCCTCCTCCTCCTCCTCATCATCTTCATCATCGTCGTCCTGCTCTTCATCATCATTGTCATCATCATCCTCCTCAGAATCCTTATCAGATTCTTCATGACGGCGGCTTCGACGTTTCCCAGGGATCTCCCCATCAGATTTCTCCTTTGGTTCCTCTCCGCTATTTTCTCCAACACTTTGTGTATCCTCCTTTTTTTTCTCCTCTTTTATTTTCTCCTGCTTTAAGGGCTCCATCTCTACTTTCACAGGGGTCGTCAAACACCGCCGCCGACCCTGAGGAGTCAGGCATACAATCAAGAAGTTTAACAAAGAAAAAATTGATTGGAAAGAAATTCGTGAAATATTGCAAACCCATATTCAAATTCATGTTACATGTTCTGTAACGAATGTGTGCGGTTCACTAAAATAAAGTGATTTCTAGTAATGTGCTTTATTTTATAGTCGCAATCTTCTGAGTCCTTTAAAAGGTTGCTGATTACTAGGGTCAAACAGAATCTGCTGACTTCTTTTCTATTTTTGACCAGAAATGTTTAGAAAAAAAAAAAAAAAAATCTGATTTATGCATAATATTGCAACTAAAAACCTAAATATGAAATATCTTATGTTTTTAACTTTTATTTAATGTTTACATTACAAATTTAATTAGACCTATTTATTTGGTCAACAAAACAAGTCTCATAATATCTTCTAAAAGACAGAATATATTACTTTACAAATTGTATTGTAAATAAATCGTATGAACATTTCCATATTAGTCAATGATATTACTAAAATCTATTTAAAAACTTAATAAATATAAATTTACATAAATAATTTGCATAAATTTGCATAAATCTCCAGTTGTCTGCATGCGCAAAATGTGCACTATGTTGACCTACTGATAACTTACTCTTAAGTTATCACCATGCTGGAAATCGGTATCAGTCGATACTAAAACTTTTAAAACATCAGCTGCGTCTCGAATGGCACACTATACATGTACTTGTGCACTTTCACACTCTACAGGTTAGTATTTGAATGTAGTGTCATACCAAATGGAACACTAATGCTTTTTTTACCAAGCGGAAATTCAAACCGTTTCCCTGATGAGGTTTGACAGTCGCCAAATTAGTGAAATAAATAACCAAACTACCAAATAATACCTGCCATGAGTTTTAAAGCATTCACCATCGGGAGGCGTATATGTCACTCTCGTAGGAGAATTTTGCTTTTACAATCCAAAATAAATAAAAGTAATCCAACATGAGTGCCCGAAAGCTCTGGCCCTTCCGCTACATTGAGCAAAGCAGCGGCCCGTGTGTTCAACAGTCCACACTTTAATTACCCGGGTGATGCACTTATTCAACTGGCAAAATAAAGTTCACTCATTATTTATAGAGTTTTTAGTGTGAACGCACTACTTATACTATTTAAACTACAAATTGGCGTAGAATAGTGCACAAGTATGCAATGTGGAACGCAGCTATTTCCCGCTAACATTTGAGCATGTTCTGAATCTCTCTCAAACTTCTCTCAACAGAAATGACTGCAATTGGCCCTGAAGATCATCAGTTCAGCAAACTCACCGCTGTTTACTGAGTGTAACCACAGATACAGAGATACTGGAGCATTTTAAGACTGCAACTCATCAGCAGACCAGCTTTTCATCAGCTTATAGACAAACCAGCTGATCGACGTGACTTTAAGAACGCTCAACAGCGCTCAAATGTTAGTGGGAAAAATGGACGTTTTTAATACTGCAGTATTAATTGGTACCGAATTCCAGTATCATGACAACCCAAACTTACTCTAAGGCATAGGATTCAAACTCAATTCCTGAAGGACCGCAGCTCTGCACAGTTTTGCTCCAACCCTAATCAAACACAGCTGATTCAACTAATCAAGGTATCCAAGACTACGAGAGACTATTAAGCAGGTGTGAGTTGCAGGAGGTTGGAGCTAAACTATGCAGAGCTGCGGCCCTCTAGAAATTGAGTTTGAGACCATTGCTCTAAGGAAACTTTTTTAAATTTCTTTTTTAAAAGTAGTGGCCACTTCACTAGCACTGTATAAACCAAGCAGCTTAAGCAAATGATTAATTTCTCCTATTGTGTTCCACATAAGAAAGCAGAATGTTTTCAAATAAAAAAAAAATCCCCCCAAATGACAGACATCCCCTTAAAAAGCAATTAAAACTCAAGAGGTAGATCAGACAGCCAAGAGAAGAGTATCATCACATGACATCAGGTCATAAAAGCGAAACCATTCTCCAGTATCATCATGTGCATTTCCTCCAAATAATTCAGGCACAAAAAAAACAACAACAAAAAAAAAAAAACACTTTGAATGCAAGTGCTATTGCTATACAGCAGGCAGGTCATAGAGCATAAAAATCCCTCATCCTGAGGGCTGACACTCACCCTGGGCGAGCAGACATCTTTGCGTCCTTTTTCGCTCTCAGCATCTGACTCATCAGCGTCTGCCGCAGGTTTGTCCTCGCTGGTTCCAGGCTCCGCTGTAACCTGCTGCATCATCTCATCATTGTTTTCACTCTCTTTTGTCACAGACTTAATGCTCTGCACTTCCGGCTGGACGTCTGGCCGTGGCTCATTGTGATGCACCGTCCTGAACTGGATCTGAGCTGAGCGGCAATACTCCTCGAATCCATACAGGTATCTAAGGTTGAGGTCAAAGAATGAGAAAGATTGCATTTTAATCTCGAACTTGATAATAAAAGCAGGTTATTGTTAAAGTTAAAGTCAGGGCTCGAAGTTAACCCTTTTGCTTGGTTGCACTGGCACTCCATACATTAAAATTTAGGATCACCAGCCAAAATTGTCGCACCCACCAACTATGAGCACCGTTACTACAAGTTTTATATGAACAGGTTTAATGCATTTAATCAACACTAATCAAAACTAACTAACAAACAAAAAATATTTGCACAAACATTGACATATAGCTTATCATTTGCATATGTCATCTTAATAGCAATACCAGTCTTTTCATGAGCTGCAATATTAGTGAATGCAAGCCCTTTGGCGATGCTGTACGTGGGGTTACATTTTACATATAGCTGCCACTTGCACAGCTGACAGCATCCTGACGATTAAATGATGGATTAAACACTACCTCTAGTGCTTAAAATATATAGAAGTGGCAAACGCCGTTACCTGCAACTCTCACAATGGCTTTACAGTGAATGCTTTAGTCATTTTCATAGCGAACTTTAACCCAATGGAACTCTTATCCCCTCTTCAAAAGTGTAAATGTATTAACATTTACCATGATCGCTAATCTGATGTGCCAGTATTTGTAACTTTAGGTGGTTTCTAAAACTAAATTTGGCAGTGTTGTTTTCATTCCCATCTTCAGCCCTTTACATTTTTGCCATTGTTGCTGCCTGTCATCTTAAGGGAGAAGGCACTGACTGAGTGAGTGAAAGCTGATATTAAACTATCTATTCGCATTCAGTTCTAGAGCAGTGAGCCAATCAGAAGAGCTTGAAGGCAGGGCTTTGTTTATTGCTACAGACAAGTTGCATGTTAATTTGCTAAAAGAAAAGACAAGTTAATTTATGTGAAATCGTAAATATAATTACGTTGCTTTTTTTTTGCTATTTAGTTCATAACATCAGTTTAAACCTTTATGAAGTTTTAAAAAATAAAATCAGTTGTTCACAAATAATAATGCAAATAAAATATCACTGTTAATCTATTCTCAAAGTTGGGTTGGGAGCTGGGTCTATTCTACGCAAGCTATGATGACTTTCACCTTGATATTTTAGTGTGGATGTATACCTGACTGGTGAGCTGTCTGACAAAAAAAAAAAAAAAAAAAAAAAAAAAAGATTACAGTGAGATTAATCTAGATAAATATTAATATATGCCCACCTGTTATAAAAAATATAAGATTTGAAACTATTTATAGGCCTATATATATATATATATATATATATATATATATATATATATAGGTTATCATACTCCAAATCTAAAGAGTTACCGATTATTGATATCGGGCCGAAAATCCATATCGGGGCAAGCCTGAACTCCTTCTGAAGTCCTCTCTTTTGTAAAGATTGTAGAGTTTCTATTGTCTTGCCTTTACACAAGTAATTTTTTCCAAATTTAAAACTAAAACTGAAAAAAATATTTGGTGTACGGCATAATTAATTGCTAGGCAATCACTGCAAAGTTAATTTACTGTAAACTGGCTTTTTGTTCAGTTGTTTACACTGAAAGGTCAAAAATACAGTCCACAGCATGCAACAGATGCACTAATAAAAGAGAAAATCTAGAATTTTCTTTTAATCATCATTTAATGATCTACAGTGCAGCGAAAGTCACCTTTAAAAGTGTAAAATTGTCTTCAGTTTGTGTCTACGACAGAAAAAGAACACTAGCTGCTGAGCAAACAAATACAGTCCTGTACAGCAGGATTTGTGAGAGCTTGCACTTACTTTCTGTAGGCAGTTTTCACATTGTATGAGGCAGCAGAGTTCAGCACGGGAATGCCGAGATCCATGTAGATCTGTTTCCAAATAGAACCACTCTCAATCTAAAAAAAGAAGAAAAAAAAGACAAAAATAAACAAACAAGTCTTTTCATTTTAGTCTTTTTGGTGACTAAAAGCACTAATTCTGGTTTTTAAGAGCTGGTAGTGTTGTGCATATACGTCTACCACACCCAAAGATCAGAAAGCTTAGAGAAGCATGACATCACTTGGACAAGCGCAACCGTTTTAACAATTATCACCACTCCAAACTTTAAAATGTAATTACACTCAATAACAGTCACAGAACATTAATTTGATAAACAAGTCTTTTTTTTTTTCATCTTAGTCCAGCTGAACTTCAGAAATTTAATCAGTGGCCACTTTCGCTTCATATTTTTTGGCAAGATCCCACTTCCCATTTGCCAGAGTCCAATAAACAAGAGGGTGGGAACGCTTCGAACACTCACATTGTCACAGCCTCCGTGAATATGTACCAATCGGAAGAGCTTGAAGAGGTTGAGATCCTTGTAGCCAAGTACTGGAGGTTTGTTAATTGGTGTCCCTGGAAGGAAAGCAAAGATGCAGAGAAGCGTTAAACTAAAATATTGCCAAGCATAACTGGTCATGAAATAGTCCTAAAAAAAAATTTGAGAAATAAATAAGCTTTTGAAAGCCACACACAGATTATAAAAGACATCCCACCTAGAGCTGCACAATATTGGAAAAATCTGAAATTGCGATATTTTGTATATCTGCGATACATGGAGATACTGTTGTCCTAAAAAAAAAAAAAAATTAAGTAAAAAATAAAAAAATAAATCTTACTCATACCCTAGGAACGTTATTACAAAAAATTCTGAGGGTTTTAAACCTTGACTTTTCCAAACCACGGTATACCTTGAAAACGGTTATCGTCCCATGCCTACTATAATCCCAAATCAACATAGCAGATCTTGTGATGCGACTATTGCGGATGCACACATTTTAATAATCCCAAATCAACATAGCAGATCTTGCGATGCGACTACTGTGGATGCACACATTTTAATATCATATTGTGCAGCCCTAATCCCACCCATGATATACATCATTCAGCCAGCCCAATGAAAATAGTTTCATCTCAGCTGGTGAGGTGAAAGTATTACCTCTGTCCTCCATGAACTTGTAAAGCTGTTGTAGAAAGTGGTCCCTTTCCTCTGGATCTGGCTCATCATCAGGCTGGATAAGAGAAAAGTACAACATCAGAATCTGAGGTGTGGAATTATCACATACCTTACTTTTTCACAAACCATGGATCTTTTACAGTGAATTATGCTTTTTTTGGCTGAACTGTCCCTTTAACAATTTATTTACTAACTGGACGGTAATAAATGTGATTCTTTTTGAACATTCAATAAATGCAACTCTTCTTGAATGTTCAAAAAGCATTGCGTTTATTACCTTCTCATTGATGTAATAGACAATTCTTTTTGAATGATTTTAAAATGTGTTAGATGGATGGATAAACAGATAGATGAATAGACAGATAGATGAAAAGATCAAATTGGTCATATATTACCATAATTTAGGTTTTTGTTGTGTATATTTAATTACAAATTTGTCAGAACAACCAATCATGTAATTGCATCCCTTCATCTCTCAATATCCAGTCACAAACACAACACCGTAACAGTTGTCAGAGATGAACGTGCCTGAAAGTGAGTCAGGCTAATTTACCAACCACTCCTACTGATTCACAACAGCTTAAGAATTATTAACAAGAACCGGCTCATAGTAGTCATTAGTTTCTGAATGGAATTACCCTCGTCATAGTATATTAGTGGCAGTGTAAAAGCATCAAAAAAAATAGCTGTGATGGTAACAACGACATTTTAGTACAAGTGTCTTCCAGCAAGAATGCACATTCAAGGATTATAACGCTTAAGCAAACTTCAAAATAATATTAAATAATAAATAAATAAAAAAATATGAGGAAGTTCTTGCCTAAAGGTTTGTTTGCAGTAAATCTTCAAAACACTACCTCAAACCTTGCATCTTAAATTCTGCCTATAGCATTAAAGTGAGGCATTTCTGTACAGCACAGGAGAGACAACTCAGCAAAAGCGCTTTGCTGCACCAAGCATCAAATCAGCAGCATTTTTAATGATCCCATTCATTTACAACAAAGGAAATATTAGGATTTACTAATAAACATCCTATTAAAAATGCACAACCTTTAAAACTACAACTTCAAAAAAATAGGACATCTGATTACAAAACATTTTTTTAATTTTAAAGAGATGTAGTTTAGCATTTCCCTAGACTAAAAGTTAAACTGATGGCTTTCTAAATGCAAAATTCATTTAAAAAAAAACAAAAAAAAAACAAAAAACAACCCAACGCTTCCAACGAATGTTTCTACTTATCTTTTCACATGCTGGCCTTATAATTGTGCAACGTGCACAAAGTTCCCCAGTGAGGAGAGAAGAGTCTTTGAGATGAGATCAGCCCTGCCCACCATCAGAACTGGCACACCTCCACTGGGCCTCAGCCAATCCCGCCGCCTTTTCACAACCAAAAGAAATGAGTGCGGTTGCCATGGGAACTTGTCGGAAAAACCAAGCAAATGGCCATTTGTCCAAACTCAGAGAGCAGGAAGAATGAGACATTGTTGTCCAGAGCCTGGGGGCTTTCCCACATGCTGGGACCATTCAGTGGGCTTAATCAAGGTGTACGAGAACACGAGATGTAAAGGGCCGATGGAATGTCTTCACAAATCAACATAAATACCAACACTGGGGCTCTTGGAGTCACCACTGGAAGCAAATGGCGTAGTACTGCTTTGGCACACCTGGTGCCTAGCTCTGGCAGACCCTTTAATCAGAGAAATCCCTGCAAAACTACATGCCAATCAATGGAGAATAAGAAACAAGTATCCAAGCAAGAGCAAAGTCTCAAATACCATAATAAAATGGGGGAGAAACTAATCAAACAAGAGTGCAACTTTCCCAACTTAACCGACTACTGATAAAAAAATAAAGTAGTAATACATCAAAACCATCATAACTCACCACAACTTCTGAAAGAAAACCCATCTATGGGGAAAAAAAGGCAAAGAAATGAAAATGACAGTAGTGCTGGAGTCTTACTTCCTCTGGTTCTGGCTCCTTCTCCTCTTCTTCACCCTCTTTGCCTTCACCATCTTCATCTTCATCGTCTTCATCACTGCTGGAAGATTCGAGGATCTCGCTCAAGTCTACTTTCCACCTGTCAGGGATTTGTCTGTTCTGTAGAAAGAGCTTTGCTGCTTCACACCCTGGCAAAAGCAACAAAAAAAGGACAAAAAGAACGAGTAAGAGATGAAACTTTGACCTGGAAACATTCAAGTGAACAGAGGGCAGCTAATCTTGGGTCTTGTACCTTTTCTTAGGGAATACTCAGGTTTGGACAGGGTATCAATGTTTACTTCCTTAACATCTTTGCGTGCAACGGTGTGACTGCAGAACACAAACAGAGATACATCAGAGAGAAAACAACAACAACAACAAGTAAATGTTACAATAAATTATTAAATATAATTCATAACAAAACAAATCACATAAAATGTAAAACATCTGCATTGAAGTTCTTGAAAATACTTAAGGAAAGCTTTTAAACATGGAATAATGTCTACCAACAAAACAGTCACAAGATAGTTAAAGACTTTGGTGTGTCAATGTCAAAGCTACTCTTCATTGCTACTTACAATTTGGAATCAGCAAATGATCTCACTAAACATTGGTCCTTTTTGACAGTTAGGTCATCATTGCAGCTTGGAGATATCACCTGAAAAAGAGAACATTGAAGCGAGCGAGTCTTTACCAGTGTCGAAATACTAGAATTAAAGATTTAAGTCTTAATTGATAATTTCATCATGAATATATATATATTAAAAAAAATAAATAAATAAAAATCATTGTCTGATGCATAAATTCCCACCTGAATTAGTATTTTTTTCCTATCGGTTTCAAGCACATTTGGAAAACTCTTTTCTAATTTCTAAAATCTTTTCTAAATTATTTTCTAATTTTTTATGAATCGTGCATTTGCATTCGCGAGGGTAAATAACAGTAGCATTTAAAGTATTTGCATGATTTCTGTCATTGTCAGCACTATCAAATTTTGTGCCTTATAGCAGCTATCTTGGCTATTAGAAATGAGCTGTAAGTACAAATGCTGGTCATTGGGTGAAATCTAATCCAGTGACGCACTGAGCCAAAGACACACCGTGCCGATTTGTACATTCTGTATCTGCGCGAGCCAGTAGTTTATTGCCTCATTACACAAAAAGAAACCCAAAACTGTGATCCACATATGCAAACCACAATACTAACAGCGTATAGTGCCATTTTTACAGTACTTGTCACTCACCAAGAAGGGCTTCGCTCATGCAAATATGTCTGGCAATCTAATACAGGTTTCACCAAACTTGTTTCTGGAGGGCTGGTGTCGTGCAGAGTTTAGCTACAACCCTAATCAAACACACCTGAACAAGCTAATCAAGGTCTTATGCCATGGTCACACTAGAGCAGGGGTGCCCAATCACAGTCCTGGAGGGCCGATGTCCTGCATAGTTTAAATCCAACCCCAATCGGACACACCTGGGCAAGCTAATCAAGCTCTAAGTAGGCTTGCTAGCAACATCCAGGCAGGTGTGTTGAGGCAACTTGGAGCCAAACCTTGCAGGACATTGGCCCACCAAAAGTCTATGAGGCAAAAAGTGCAGTGTGACTGCGGCTTTTCAAGGTATAGTAGAAACTTCCAGGCAGGTGTGTTGAGGCAAGCTGGACACTGACTCACCAGGACCAACATTGGTGACCCCAGATCTAATAAGTTTACATTGTTTGCAAATATTTGAAAAATGCTACAAAATACAGCAGAACAACCAATCAGAGTGCTCTTTCATAAACCGCTGACTCCATACTACATGCTAAGGGTTTCTGCAGATATTACATTGTCAAATTTAAGACTTTAAGTATTAAATTTAAGACCCATGTCACTATCAAAAAAATCACATAAACATAAAAAGAAAATACAAAACCACTAAATTAGTCGTAAAATACATGTATTCAGATTGAACAGTACAAAAAGGCATGTGAAATGCACCATTGAAGTACAGAAAAAAGCTTAAAGCTGATTTGTACTTTCGCCTAACACCGCATCGCGCACCACACAAAACAAACGAGGCTTTTATCCTTGACGCGTTCGCCATAGAGATATTCTTTTAAATGACAGGGGTGGTCAAAAGAAACAGACAGTAAAATCAGACGGATAAACAGAGAAGTAGAAAGTTTCCGGAACTACGTCATAACATTGATATCATTGAAAATTTTTTAAATAATTGTTTTTAATAATTTTTCTTAATTATTATGATGATTATAAAGATTTTTATAACCATTCAAGATTTTTTAAAATCAAACTTTGATGCATCTTTTGCTTTAAATCATATCTCGGACAATTCTACCTATTAAAGTTAAATATTAATAGCAACAGAACATGAGTTGCTCTACAATTATATTTTTATTATGGCAAGCATAAAAGCAAAAAAAAAAAAAAAAAAAAAAAAAAAAAGTACACTTACTAAAAATACAGACTTTAATTTATTTTTTTGCCCACTCCACAATTCACACATTACTGGCTGGTTAGTTTCTGTCCTATACTGATATGCTAAAAAGGCAATAATGGTCCAACATTCCTGACCATCATCACCAATAGAGCCTAGAAAAACAGGGCATCGGTATATTATAGACCGATGGGTTTAAAAATTCTTTTCCAGTTATCAAAGACATAATTAGTTACCTAATTTTTGTTTGTAACTTGTAAATTGTTTTAAGTTCAAAATTGTAGTCTATACATGCGTGTAAAACCTATGAATAGTGGAAAAACATTCTGTAATATTAAAACCACCTGGGTCTCTACTTTTGCATGGCCTCTTATTTTGTTTAAACAAACTTATGCCTCAGGTTTTTCCAAACTTTTACAAAAAGTTCCTCCTTTCCCACAGCTGTTGCAATTTCTAGCCAAGAATTGTTGGTCATCTGGTTCTCCCTATGATCACGCATGGACGGATCATGAAGATGTCTGTACAGTCATACCTGTTTCAGACAAAATATCTTCAAAGTGATTCATATTCAACTCAAATCAACCACGGCGCCGCACATCTTAAAATATTGTGCGCTCCGCTAGCCGAAATCATTCTCGCACACCCAAAGCGAACCTCCGCAAACACATCGATGATGTCACATTCGTCATGCGCAATGAGTTCAATAACAAAAAGCTGATTGGCGATTGGATGTTGGTATCATTTGTAGTTGTAATACTGCAAATAACATTAGGACTAGTGAAATAAAGAACTACAACATCACAAAAACAAGCAACAACAAAAAAGAATTTAAATGAGCAATAGAAGTAGCGTTACATGTACATCAAAAAATAGGACCTGTGCAAAATATTTAAGACCTAGAACAGCGAATTTAAGACCCCGCAGAAACTCTGATGCTGAATCGAGCAAACACACTCTAATTTGAACCTGATGAAAGGCAATGTGTGGACCTCTGCTTTTTGATTTTAAAAGTTGAGTGGAAAAATTGTCTTTTTGCACATTTAAAATGAAGTTAGAGATTTTGTTTATTCCTCTTATATACGTGCTGTTCAACACAAGCCAACTACATTTTAGTGCCCTTCCTTAGTCTTCCTGTTTAAGGCAAATAGAAAGACAAAAAAGTAAAAATGTGGCACACAGTGGTGGCACTTCTTGGAGAAAGCGGTTTGACAGATGTTTCTGAAACTGTTCCTCTCACAGCTGCCATCGTTGTGTTAAGAGGTACACATGAGCAGCATGACCTCTATGAGTGTGACACATTTACAATCCTGCCTGCTGCACTGCTGGGGTGTTGGAGGTTTCGAAAACAGTATTCTGTCACACTGTGAGTACAGTACACTTATATTCTTTTGACTTATATGTAACTTATAATAAACATCTTTTTCATCTACACCAGGGGTCTCAAACTCACGGCCCGCGGGCCATTTGCGGCCCTCAGTGCAATATTTTGTGGCCCGCGCCGACCGCTGTACTCTGACAGAATCAGCGGAGCGCTCCCCGCTATCCGTACACAGCGCGCTTGTCACTCAGTGCGCGTTGTCGCGCGCGTTCTGATCAGCTGTGTTGTCGCGCGCGTACTCAAGAGCGGTGTTATCGCGCGCCTACTGAAGGGCGGGACCGAGGGTGTGTCGCGTCGCGGGGGCACTTTTGATCATTTTGGAAGGGCACTTTCTATGCAAGACTAAAAAGGGCATGTGCTCTGTACAGGTTGAGCCCTATGTGTGCACATGCCTGCCCTGCATCTTATATATATTGATATTATAGGTAGATACAGACTGATGTGACTGGAGTGGGGGTGTTTTATTTATATATATATATATATATATATATATACGCCTTTTTTTTTTAGGTGAGGGAATGGAAGTTTTGAGTGAGTTCCCCCACTTTTTTCCCTAGGACTTCAATAAGTCAAAGTACAGGTCTAGACTTAATGATGATCATCTTCAAGCCATACTGAGGATCTCAACTGCTTCCGCTCTAAAGCCAAATGTGGTTCAGATTTGTGAGAAGAAGCGCTGTCAAGTTTCTGGCAGCAAGGAGTAGGCAAAAGATGCCATGTTCAGAAGAACTGTTCATAACTTCACTCAATGTTCTATTAATGTCCAGGACACTTCATGTTCAGAAGAAATAATTAAAACTGTTAATAATGACATTTGAGGACTTTTTTTTGTGAAATCCCTTATGCGGCCCAGCCTCACCCAGACTTTGCCTCCTGCGGCCCCCAGGTAAATTGAGTTAGAGACCCCTGATCTACACCATTTGATTCCAATGCAGTCGCTATGCAGTTACAACATTAAAACTAGAGCATTACTTTTATCATTCACTATAATCACGAATAACAGGTTTAAGTGTAATTTACCCACCAAAATAAATTACAATCAGCAATTTTCAACAGCAGCAGTTCAACATCTCCAGACTGGTTCTATTTATATTATTTAAAAATATGTGTTGTTCCAAACCTTAGTCCCTATTATTTATCAGGGGTCGCCACAGCGGAATGAAATCACCAACTTGTCCAGCCTATATTTTACACAGCGCATGCCCTTCCAGCTGCAACCCAGTACTGGAAAACACCCACAGACTCTAGCATACACTACAGCCAATTTATCGATAACGCATGTCTTTGGACTGTGGGGGAAATCAGAACACCCGGAGGAAACCTAAGCAAACACAGGGAAAACATGCAAACGCCACACAGAAATGCCAACTGGCTTAGCCAAGACTCAAACCAGCGATCCGCTCGCTGTGCTGCAACAGTGCTAGGTACTGAGCCACCATGGCACCTCAGATCCAAACCAACATACATTCAAAAATTCCAGTCTATTCTTATTAAAGCAATCACTTGAGCACAGAAAATTCCTCTCACAAGCAATGGATACCATAGTTGCCGCTACATACATTCTTCCGTGGCGGGGCGCCACACCAAAATTCATCCTGCCACAGCTACATTACAGCATCTTATTCAAACTCTTCAGTCGTGTTTTTTTTAATAGTGGGTTATAATCGCATCAAAACGTATTAAAAGGTAAGTGAATTATAAAAGCGCAAACTTTTCTGTAACCGTAGTAGTGCTGTGCGCTATTTGTTTAACCCTTACAGATGACATGCTGACTGACTGACTGACAGGTGCGTGATGCACGAGGCCAGCAAACACAACGTAGCTTTCAGTTAATATGAACAGTTTTTTAAAAGATACTTTATAGATAAAGGGCTAAGGCTCTGCATATTATGACTTTATCTTGCTGGAGTTTATAGCCGTTCACTTTACATCAGGAAGCATTAATGCCGCTCTGTAGGTCCAAGCCAATCTAATAAATGTTGGAGACCTACTCGTTACAAAAACGCCCTACATTTCACTTCAGCAACGATTATTTGAGAGCGCACAACAAAATGCACCTGAACAGCGTATATTTAAGGGTGTGCAAAAAGTTTTGTGCATGAACAGAGGAAATCGGCACGCAGGCAAACAGATTTGCATGATCATATTACGTGAATGGGATCTTGACTTGTAATACTGCGCTCACGACATTTGTCATTGAAATAACGCCATGCGTAGTTTGTGGATGTATGTAAAAAAAGGCCTGCCGCCACAGCTGTAAAAAAGTCCTAGAGGAAACACAATGTTTCTGTTAAGTTGTTGGCTTTACAACTACGCGCGATAAAAAGTGGAGTTATGAATTCAAAAATATTCCTATTTTTTGCTCCCAGGGAAAAACAACAGGAAAAAGGTTTTAAACAGAAAGACAGCGACAAAAATCCCTATTTTAAAGAAATTCTAAAAATCTTGCTTAAAAAAAAACAAGTTTAAAAAAAGATGTAAATGAATTAAAGACTCACCAGGACGCAGAGCCATGAATCATCAGGTTCACTCTGAACACAGGCAACTTTCCCCAAAAGATCATCATTAAGCCTTCTCTTATCATCATCGTCATCTTCACTTGATGAGGACTCCTTCTCATCTTCCGCACTGCATTGCAACAGAGAGAACCAACATTTAAAACAGGCTCTCTTTCACATCAAAAACACAGATCAGAGAAGCTAAACTGTATTTGGGCACATAGTATAATAAATAAAATAGAAACAGCCGAAATAATGTTAATATCAACTTTAAATACAACTGAGAATCAGCAGTTTAAATACTGACTCAGAATACTGTGCTTTCCTGAATTCCAAGTATAATAGTCATTTTGCTATTAGGACGCAAGTGTAATGAATGCAGAAACAACAACAACGTGATTGTGAAGTGTACTACAAGTAGCTCATTGTGAATCATGTCACTGGACAAATACTTTACACTTACATATAAAAGTCTTTATGGTACATAGACAGTAGGGATGCAACGATAAACCAATTTAACTATTAACCTAGGTTATATTTTGTAATGGTTCATTGATTGGAATTTATTGTACTACAGCAACTAGAAGTTATGCCAATGTTGCACTAGTTTAAAGTTCCGAGCTTGTCTACCGAGACTAATAACCATCCATACTAGATTAACTATGGCTAAGGCTATTAACTAAGCCGTTCACATATCGCGTCTTTTGTGTGTGCAAGTTTGTTATTTGCAAAGAAGGTGCATGGCTTGCACTTTCCAGGTGCACGTAGATGAAAGAATGCCAAATTAGACATGATTGATGTAATTTATTCTTATTCATTTATTGTTTTGTCACTGTATACTATGAACTACTGTTTGCTTTTAATAATATTTTGTGCCGTATTAACTGGTTACTGAGCAGCAATAAATAACATTTTAAAATATAAGGGGTTTTCACTTGATTTGATCAATTATTGTATTGTTTTGAAAATAATGAAAGCATAATATTCATGATAACCGTGAAACCGTTCCACAGACTATAACCCTACAACCAAAATCTACAATCGTTGCATCCCTATGACAAAAACATTTGGATTTGAAAAAGGATACAAAAGATGTGGAAAACTTAAAAACAAGTTTGAACCATTTAGTGCAAGAGGCAACAAAGAAAAAGACTAAAAATACTCACACTGCCTGAGAGGACCTTCTACCTCGATTCGTCTTTTTTCCAATGACTGGTGTACCAAAGTGCTCTGGGTTAGTCAAGGGCAGCTGGTCCAAAGTCTGTAATAAAGCAAAACAGGCAGAATTATGAAAAAGAAAGAGGGGAAAAAAAAAAAGAGCTAACCACAAGACACATGATCCGGGCACAACACCTCACAGTAAATGTATTTATGTTCTCATTTACCTCACTCTCTGCAAAATGTCTTTCGCCTTTAAGACAAAGTGAAGTTCTTCTAAGGGTTTTCTCATCTCCGTCATCAAAAACTGCAATGAGAATGCAAATGGCAAGTTTAGCTTACTACCATTCATTCAATTCATATAGGGCATAATGATGGTCTTGGAAGATCAACTCCAGTGAGATTGGTCCAGTCCTGCCTGTACGTACCTACAGTGTACCAGCTGGCATCTGTGAGTTTGCTGATGACAGCTTCACTAAGCCCACCCTCTGGGCTCTTTACTTCTACTGTTGAGCCAACCTAAGACCACAGATGAGAAAAATAATTATGTTTGCACAACCTCACCTTTCATATCATGCATAAAAATTGTAATTGTTTATAAAAGGAAAAAAAAAACATACACATCGGATTTATAGAATGTAGAAAGTGCTAAATGCTTTTATAAGTTAATACCATCATAACTACACATAATAATTTATTTTATGTCAACTCTAACCAGTTTAATGCCAAATGAAAGAAAAAATGGCTTTGGTGAATAAATATTTGTCATTTACAAAATGTTACATTAGCAAGAATTAACCGAATGCTTTATATGTAATGTTATTTAAATGCACTACAGAGTCGAACTTCAACAAAAATAGTCTCCTTACCCTTAGGGGTCCTTTGACTTGGTCATCTTGGACAACTTGTGAGGTGCTGTCTCCTTTGAGCACAACCTGCAAACAAAAACATTACAAAGATATAGAAAAGAGCATGATAGTGAGAACAGTGTGGATGGAGAGACAGTAGCAGTACAACTCAGTGAAGGTGAAGTAATCTGGTTGTGCAACAGACGGCACGTTCTCCTTGATCTCTCTCGAGCAAGCTTCTTAACTGAGAGCCTGCGTACATAGTCTATAGAAGATACTTGAAATCTACTTGCCATCATACTTAAGACTGTGCAAGACAAACTTTATGCATGTGCTTTTCAGCTGCTCAACACTGTCATGTTGTAGTTGGTTAAAAGTCACAAAACAATACATTGTTGCTTTTTCATTCATCCGTTTCATTCGGCTTTCAGAGGTTGCCACAGCGGAATGAACCGCCAACTATTCAAGCATATGCTTTAAGCAGCGCAAGCCCTTCTAGCCGCAACCCAGTACTGGGAAACACCCATGAAACACTGATTGACACACACTACAGCCAATGTAGTTTATTCAATTGAGCTATAGCACATGACATTGGACGGTAGGGGAAACCAGAGCATCTGGAGGAAACCCACGCCAACACGGGGAAAACATGCAAACTTCACACAGAATTGGAAACTCCCCAGCTTGGACTCGAACCAGCAACCTTTTTGCTGGGAGGCAAAAACGCTACCCAATGAGCCACAGTGCCTTCCCCACCCATTGCTTCCACAAAAACAACCAACTTTTAATGTGTTAATCTAAATTAAACCATTCATAAGGTTACTGTTTATGCACATAACATGTTCCGTACTGATCACAGTCTAAAAAGATGGACATTTTGCACAACTGATGTTTTAAAGTTTGAAAGCAGAATTGACACTTTGTGGTTTGGCTTTTTATGGCCAGATATGCTACTCATGCTGGAGTGCTTTAACACTTCTGCATAAAAGCAACATTTTTAAAGCCACATACATTTTTGCATTGACACTGATACTTGTAAAAGTTTGTTTACCTCTCCAGTCACCTGACACCGACTTGATAGATAAGATGCAAGCCACATGTGCCCTCTGAACTTACAGACTCTTTCAAATCTTTTTACTTTCTTAACTTATACAGGAAAAATGACAGACTGATGACAAAGCAGGTCAACAACTATTAAATGGGGTCAAAGATTTAAAAGTGTAAGTTTCAAAGCTACGCATTAGGTTTACATCAGATTGTATAACCAAAGTCATACTGAATGAATTTTGCTGAATTGTAATAGCATTAGATATGGACTAGTGTCTACTCATTGTTTGAAAGCAAGGTGTGCAGTATGAATGTAATTTTATCAATATTACTGCCTTTTTGCACATGTAATTTATTTTATCTAACTTCAGTATGGAGAGCTCTGTTGTGACACGTAAATTTCCCTTTAGGATTAATAAAGTTTAACAAACAAAATGCATTATCACAACATGTTAATTCTGTTACTATAAGTCAGGAACAAATGTAAAGTTTTAAAAATAAGGAAGTATGACTTTATTTGCATACTACAGTCATGTACACAGTATATACCATTTAGTAAACTGCTCGGTTGCTTATATATTCTGAAAATGTCAACTAAAATCACCATCCAGTGATTCTGCATATAAAACATCCAACTATTCAGTAAATAGTGCACAAAACTGCAAACAGTGATGATAATAACAATACTTACATTGTGCAATACAAAATAAAGCAGTTGTGATTCGCTATACAGTATATAAAAGAGCAATTATAGTGTTATGGATGTGACATTTGCAGTAAAAACTCAAAACATAAATTAACATAGAAAGTATATGTTAACATTTTATTGAAACATCTGTTTATATGACCACAGAGTTAAGGGACCAGAAAAATATCAACCTGTAGACATGTTTTGTACTTTAAATGAGGCAAAATAAACATGCGTTATGTATGCGACCAAAAAGTATGCGAGTTTGCAGTATACAACATATTTTGCATGCAGAAATTCTGTGAATTAAACTGCACAACCCAAAAGAAATAATACTAACCATGAGGATAAAATATATCTCTTTACAGAACAAAAATGATTGACTTTATTTTATATTATATTTTTGCATTTATGAGAAAAAAAAAAGTGTCATTATGGATGACACCTCTCTGTTATGAATGTGACGGATGTGAAGTTGCCACTTGTGTGACTTCTAAATCATATACAATTGTTTGAAAACATTAACAGAGTTGAGTATTTCTAAAGTACTGTAAAATACAAGCCTACATAAATCGGTTTCCATATTTTGGGGAAAACTTACTTTTTTTAATGCAAGTTGACATTTGCATGGAATTGCTCAATATTATTAATGCATGATAACATTTAGCAAATATTCTTTATTGTTCCCAGGAAAAACAACCACATATTGGTCTGCATTTGCATGAAATTGACTAAACAATAACTGTTTTCAGAAATTTAAACAATTTATCTAGCTCATTAAAAAAAAAACAAGTTTAAAACAATATTTTATATACTATATAGTAGGTTACAACTTTTTATATCGCAAAATGTCATAAGTAAATTGCACCTTTATGACAAGATAATATTTTTTAAAACTAACATTTTTGTTTTAATGAAAAGCTGCATTGAAACAATTGTGTATTGAGAGCACTATTTAAATAAAAGTGGTATGAAAAGATGAATACATAGATTTATATAAGACAGATTCAACTTACCTTAACTTTCACCATACGTTTAACAGTCTTAATTTTTGCCTCACAAAAGGCACCACGGTACTTTGCGCTTACATCCGTCCCCACGGTCAGGTAGGCAGGTTCGTCTGCTACCTGTAAACAGAGCAGATATTATTAATGTGAATAGACACATTGATGCAACATATTGTTGTCTGCACATCTAAGCATGCATAAACATATCTATGAATACTAAAATAAATAACAGCACTCATACAGTTCTTAAACTCAATATAATCCATGATCAGTTACTGTATGAAACAAATATAAACAAGTGTGATTCTTATAATTTCAACATTTTGTTTCAGATGTTTGTTGGGTTTCATGTAGGGAGGCGTCGCCTTTCAGAACTGCAGAGGATCACAGGCTCACCTTCATCTTGATGGCTATTTGAGGGAGTCCAGCTCGATTGGTTTTGACTGCTGAAACAGAACAACACACAAGCATAAAGAAACAGAGTCACGATCTGGCGCCATGTGCTTAAAAAACGTGTCTTATGTATGCGTGAGAAGGATTTGACAGCACAACACAAACACACACAACAGAGAAAATGCTAAAGGAGCTAACGCAGTTAGCCACTTCTCGTCCTCCTCCCTTCAAAATGACCAAATAAACAAGACCAAGCCATCAAAAACACAGCTTGAACTACCTCGCTATGACTTTACATCCAATCTGAGCCACTTACGATGTACTGATTGTGTAAAAACAAAGCACGGAGTCACTGAAGGAAAACATAACCTCTTCAAACCCTGCGTGTTTCCTTCCCGCTTCACTCACAGTGTGTGTGTGTGTGTGTGTGTGTGTGTGTGTGTGTCACGTCGCCATCATAGCTCACACACCGTCCTGCACCATGTCAGCCCCTCCACCATCCACTAAGCCTACATTTCCTTTACTTAACACTGGATTTACCGAAAAATTAGACTTTGGAGAACGACAAACAGACTGTTATGATTGTTATTGACGCCTGTCAATCAAATTGTGACGGTTGAGCTAAATATAGTGGAGCTGTTATGGCGATTTAAACAGTTCCCCGGGTTAGTTCCGCAACAATATGTGAGGCGACTTTTTTCCTTCGGAATGAGTTACAAGTTTTGGATTATAAAGTGGACGGTTTTGAACGAGTAACGTTAGTGCAAGTAAAAGTCGCCGGTTATTTATTCTGAACGCTGAGAGAAAACAAGCCGACTAGCTGTGACCAGGCTCTGCCATTCAATTTTTTTCTCTCTCTTCGTCGCCTAAATACCTTCGCTGGAAACCACGGGAAAACGGCGAATATGACTGGATTACTCTAACGTTAACGGAATTAAGTAAAACACATGCGATTATACGGTTTTAATCGGAGTTTGACCGGTGTGTGGAAATTTAAATATGTACTTACATGCTCCTATATGACTGCTTCAGCTCAGCATTCGACTAGGTTGCAAAGGCATAGACGAAATAACAAGCTGTTGAGCTGAGGTTGTGTTTCTCGGATCCCTATTGGCTGCCGGAGCCGCTGTGGGCAAACTCCGAGCATTGTGATTGGCTGTCGAATAAACCGCATTCTATTGGCCAGACTAAAGCGCGCTAGCTGATTGCTGAGTACAAAAGCGGCGCTGCGAATTGCGCGTTCTCATTGGTGTTCTTTGATTCTCAGTATTTGGGAATACAACAAATTCATCCTGGTTTTCCATTGGCTGCATATTTCCTGTTCTGCGTTGTCCACGTTTTTAATTGGCCGATTTCCTCTAGAAGCGTCCCATCTGCGAAGCCCATTGGCTGAAGGATGTATGGGAACGGAGCTTGATTTCCGAGGGAAAGCCTCTGCTCAGATCTGCGCATGTCCAGACGGAGAGAACATTCGCCATTTTGTACCCAGCGTAATTATTTTCGCATTCTGGACTCGGAGCCCGTGAGATTTCGCGGTGAGCCGTGCGATTGTTTTCTCTCTGCTTGTCTAGTCAAAGCGAGCAGTCTTACATCGTTCTAGCTTCAGTGGTTCCTTTATGTGATTTACATTGCGATTGTTTTACCAATAAATAATTCTAAACGCGGTCGTGTAGAAAAGGTCAATTGAAGGCAACGGTAATGGCGTCTTTATGTCGTTTCTGTGGAGAGCGTCTGGCGTCATTGGTTTTGGCCACGTGACCGGAAAAGAGCGCCACAGTAAGCATGCGTGACACGTTAGATTTTTATTCAAAGACACCTACCTTGTTTTAATTATTCTGCATTATATTTTTTTCTAAAAATTTATACTCAAACATAACATTAAATCATTGTGATTTTAGAATCAATACTGGTTTCAAAAAGTATTGTGGTATTAAAATGTTTTTACATTACAATCTTATGTGTATTACTTTAATAATAATTGATATAGTTTAAATGTGTAACCCGGATCAGAAAATAATCCATACCTGTGCGATGCTGATCCATTTGTTAACCACGTACTATCTGTACATTGTGTGTTAAACAATAAACTTGTCAGTATTCCTTTGCATTAATGAGATTGTACATTAATCTGTATGTACACATTACATAGCAACTGATTAAGACCTTTTAAGAGCAATATTCAATCATTACACAAAACACAAGACATTGCCACCGACACATGGAGCTAAAAATAGAAGTCACAAGCTAAGCTTTGGCCTAAAGCACCAAGACAGCTACAAAAGCACCCACAATAAATGTCAATGCACGTCCAGTCAAAAGAAAGGAAAAAAGCGACTTCCTACTAATTATACACATATTGATAACTTTTATTTTACTTTAAACACAGACAGGTCAATCTGATGTTACTTTATTGTTAAAATACTATTTTACAAGCGCACACTAAAACAACATTCACCATGGTTCTTTCATCAGTCCTATCAAACCAAAATATAATCATTAAGACCTTTAATTTAATTGAGCACTTGACAGATGATTTATTATAAAATGCCATTATGTTTTAAAACTTAAAATGATCTTGATTTTTAAAACTGGATGATTAATAAACATGACAGGCCTCTTTTTGACTTGCAATTGTTTTCGAAGCATCAATGTTTAGGATTTTTTTTAATATTTACTTTGTGTTGTCACTTTATGTACACTGGAAGCTTCTGTAGCCAAATTAAAATCCTGGTGTGTGTAAAGCACATTTGGCAATAAAACTGATTCTGATGCTTGTTTAAAATCTATGAAAAGATTATATACACACATTATCAAGTTTTGTAGAAGAGGTTTCTTTTGTTATATATTTGATATTAATGTAGTAAAGCAGTGGTTCTCAAACTTTTTTCATCAAGTACCACCTCAGAAATAAATTGTCTCTCCAAGTACCACAAAAATGAGCAGTATTGAAATACAGTCACATAGTAGGCCCAGTAAAGCAGCTACAACTCTGCACAGTAAAAAAAAGGAATGTGGCAGATTATCTCAGAAATATAGGCTATATGTCGTATTATATACATAATTTTTGGTAAATTTTGAAATGTGTGTAGCATGTGCATGACATATTTCATTCCTCCGCGTACCACTAGTGGTACATGTACCACAGTTTGAGAACCACTGTAGTAAAGTATCCCAGTGTAAGAGGAGGCATGTATGAAGCTTTGGTAACGCCATTAGTGTACTTTATTAAATAGAAATACTATCTAAAAATATGTGAAATGTAATTAAAAAATGTGGAAATGGATACGATTAGGCAAGTTGAAATAGGAGCGCACAAACTTTTAACAAGTTATATACATTACAATGCTAAATTAGTTAAGTGCAATCGTGTTTTATTAATATAAACACTGTTTGTTACCTTCAGAACTGTACATTTGTAACTTAAACTATACCATACATCACAGCTATCAAATCCAGTTCCTGGAGTGCTGCAGCTCTGCACAGTTTAGTTCCAGCCCTGCTTCAACATACTAATGCTGCGGTCTAAGTAGAGTTTGTGTGTGAAATTCAATTGTATGGTGCTGTGAAAAGGGGTGAGATTAAACAAGATGATTAGACGTTTAAAGCGAGCGATTAGTCCATATTCTAAATTTCTGTCACAGAGAACACAGCGAACTGTGTGAACTTGTTGCACAAGCTTGCGTTACCGTTCTGCCGCATTCGCATGTGTATGAATGGAAGTCTATGGAAGAAAAGTGCAGTGTGACCACAGCTTTTCCTGTAGGTTTCAAACAAGCCTGAAAATCAATTAGTTTGATCAGGTGCGTTTAATTAGGGTTAAAGCTAAACTGCAGAGCTGTGGCCCTCCAGGAACTGAATTCGACACCTGTGCCATACATGTATGCTTTGAAATTGATGGTAAATTATAATGCTTGTGATTTGCTTTGAAGCTTCATATGTTGGTGGCTGACAACTAAACTATCCATTAGTTTAGGATCACGTCAGATTAACTGTTTATCTACACTCAAACGCATCATGTAGTTCATACCTCATGTTGAACCTAGTAATATCCACATTCTCCTGGCAGGGTGTGTATAAATATCATTCAGTGACAGGCTTTGTGGAAGAGAAGGTGGGTCTTTCTGCCAAAATAATGAATGTTAATTATGACAATTTAGATGTGAGCTTCATTCACTTTTATAAATCATATTTATTGGGAAGACTGAAATCTGCAAAAGCAAAACATTAGGACTACATTAAACATAAAAAACGTTTTTATTGTCTGCACAGTAAAGTTGAGAAATGGTCATAATGTGTGAAACATGGTATACACAATCAGTGAATAGGAAAGTCAGGTTTGCAGCGCTGTGTTTACATGTTGTCCTCATCAGAGTCATCCTCCTCCTCCAGGGATTCCTGTCAGGACAAATGTGACAATCAGCCGATAATCAAAAGAGCTTTTGTTGCAAACATTACCAGAGAAAGTGACTTACTTTAGCGTATTTCTCAGCCTCCTCTTTGACATCTTTGGGGACGAGCTCGTGCCTTCCTTTTGTGACTGATAACGGGTGGAAAAAAAGATATATAAATAAAATACTAAAGCTCTTTTCTAGTGTAGACACACCATAAAATGTAAAACCCCTTTTAAAATTGCTGAATTACATTATGCCGATATCGGAAAGATACCAGAATAAGTCATTTCCACTCCAGCATAAAAAAAACAACAACAACAACGAAAAAGGAGAAGTAATGAACCACAAAACAACAGAAGAGCGTTTTTAGAGAGAGAGAGAGAGAGAGAGATGTAGCACTTAACATGCTGTAAACCATTTCCCTTAAAGCTATTTATTCAGCAAGTTGAAGAAACATCACAATAGATTAGAATTAGAATATAAGCGGCTATCATTACCTTCTCCAACCCAGCTGAGCTCCAGCTCAAAGGCTTTGTCTTTCACCTCATCGTGAACTATATAGATACTGAAGAGAGACAGCAGAACACACATGTACTTTGAATCATTTAGCAGATGGTTGGATCTGAAGCTTACACATAACACAATGTTATAAAATCAACCAAAGACAAACAATATGTATCCTAGTTAGCCTAGAAGAGTGAGTGTAGGTTTAAAGCAGGGCTGCTCAAACGTTTTCTTATGAAAGGCCAAAAGCCAGACTTGACTAAGGAGGGTGGTGAGCCGAAGGTAAATTTACCAAACTGTATTACATTAAAGTTGCCATGGTAAAAATACAGAAAGCCCACATTTTAGACAATGGTTACTGGAATTGTCTTATGGTTTGGCTTCAGAAAAATTACCTTATATAGTCAAGAGAAAACCTAACATTATATAAAATATTGAAGTTTTTAAAAATTTGGAATCCCTTTGTTGGTTTCCTGAAGGAAGCAGATACAAATCTTTTCTCTGTGTAACTTGTTTCTTCTGTTATTGATATACCGTTGTTGTTATATGATGTGCCTTTATAATGTATGTGTAAGTACATGCATTTACTTATACATTTGAGTATTTTTTTATTATTATAATTTTTCTTGATGGCTTTACTTTTCATTTATTATTATTAATATTATTTTGTATGTTTGGTTTAGATTTCTGTTGTACATGTTAAAAGCTACTATAATTAATCAAGACTTTAAAAAAAATTTTTATGGTAATTCGCTTATTCATTAACATTTAAAAATAAATAAAAATACTTTAATCGTTTTAATAATTATATATTTTTTCTGATTAATTCTTACTACTAACCTTATTCTTGACATATGATTGGGAGCAGCGTTTGGAATCTTTTTGGCTCAATGCTTCTGGTCTCATTCACTGCAACTGATTTTTTAGACATTTAACAGCTCGTTATGCTGCCTCAGGTTGTAAACTGACATTTTCTCATTTTATTCTTCTACTTTTTATGTATAGTCATGAACACACTTGTTTGTAGAGCAAGTAGTTTGACTGTTTTCTGCCGTTTTATATTCCTAGTCATTTCTTTCATAGGCAACTGAATCGAAAGTTCTAAAACGATCGCAAAAAACTAGTGCACATTTGCTCTGAATATGGTTTTATTAACCTTATTCTGCAATGTTGAATACAGTAGTCAAGCTGCCTGCACCTGCCTTTTCCTTGATTAGCTCCCCTTGTGCATTGACTTCTATCCATAAGGTGACAATATTTACATTTTTAATAAAACTGATGCATTCACAATATTTAAACAAAACATTATTTCAGTTTGCTTTTGTTAGCACAAAAATTAAACAAAAGGTTATGTTAAATTAGAAATGACAATCTCTGTTAAAGGCATTAACCCCAACCTTCCCCATCATTCTCCCACTCTTCTAAGATGGGATGGTGAGCCAAATCAAAGGTTACCATTGGCCAACTTTGGACTACATGCCCTAGTTTGGGCATTTCTGCTTTAAAGGGTTAATTCACCCCAAAAATAAAAATGCAATTAATAACTAATTCCTCCTCAACTCCTTTGACCTTCATTTGTGTTTATCTTCAGACCTTAAGTGAAGATATTTTAGATGAAATACGAGAGCTCTCTGACCCGCCATAGACAGCAAAGGTACTGAAATGTTCACTTTGCCTGATTAACATGTAGAAATGGTGAGGCTACATTGGCGAAAGAACGCGCTAATATGATTGGTTGATCAGCAACGAATCAGAGCAAGAGAACAAAAAGTGAAGTGACAAAATCAAGCAAACAAATAATGAAGAGGGAACACACAGAAGCCGGCTTTAATTTTGTTGCATTCCTCTAATATTTCCACATTATATTAATTATTAGATTTATAAAAATGCACATTAAAATTGCAGATTAAATTGCCTAGCCCTACTTTGAACGTCTAGGGACCATTGCGATCTACGAAGGGTCAGAAAGCTTTCCAATTTCATCTACAATATCTTAAGATGTGTTCTGAAGATGAAAAGGGTCTCGGGGGACTGAAACGACATTAGGATGAGTGATTAATAATGGTTTACCTAACCCATTTATGTTTTTGTATTTTAGGCGACAATAGGAACACTAGAAAGTGTTGGTGTTAGAGGGTCAAGTATTGATGGAAAAAATATATATACATATATTTAGCGGGTTCTTAAATTCAAAATATTTAGATTTTCAGGCTAAAGTTGGTCAGTAATTTCTTCAGTATCGAACAGGAGAGTTTTTTTATTTTTGCGATGACGCCACAGTGCGTAATAGTGGATTTAGGTAAAGGGATGTATTTCTCAATGCTGTCATTTTTATTTTAAGCGTGTGTTTTTTGAAAGGAATGTCTAAACATCACTCAAATTTATTTGCCATTTCACTCAGCCCTAATTGGGCCACTGAATCACATTCAATCTCTTGTTTCATATGCGAGTACCAGCAATAAGTTACTGGCAGAAATTCACTTACTGTCAAAGCTAAAGAATATACAGATGGGAAAATAAGTGTTGAACACGTCATGTTTTTTCTCTGGTAATAATGTTTCCAAAGAAGCTGTAGACATTGAACTGAACCAGATTTTGCCTGAACAATACAAACATTAAAAAAAGTTAGTTATGTGTAATGGGGCACACAACCGCCTCACAGCAAGATGGTCGCTGGTTCGAGCCCCAGCTGGGTCAGTTGGCATTTCGGTGTGGAGTTTGAATGTTCTTCACGTGTTTGCGTGGGTTTCCTCAAGTTGCTCCAGTTTCCCCCACAGTCCAAAGATGTGGTACAGGTGAATCGAATAAGCTAAATTGGCTGTGGTGTATGAATGTGTGCAAGAGCGTGTGGGCTTTGCCCACAGTTGGGTTGTGGCTGGAAGGGCATCCGCTATACAAAACAGGTGCTTGATAAGTTGGCAGTTCATTCCGCTGTGGCGACCCCTGATTAATAACGGGACTAAGCCGAAATTGTTTTTAATGAATGAATAATAATAATAATGGAATGACTAGGAGAAATTACTGAACTACTGAAATGTGTTTAAAATATAAAAGGCTTTGCACATGCATTGCTCAGGTTTGAGTTTTTCCACAGACTTCAACAGTGTAAAAATTCTGATGGTTCTGTGGGTCTCGTCTGTCAAATCTGAGCTTTATTTTGTATTTTCTATTGGATTGAAGTCAGGTGATTGGCTGGACCATCCTACTGCTTGATTTTCTTTCTCTGAAAGCATTTGAGAGTTTCCTTAGCTGTGATTTGATCGTCATTATCCTGCTAATGTAGATGTTGGACTGAAGCAGCTAATATTGATTTACAACGAGGAAGGGCAGAGGGTTGCTGAGGAACTACTTGGAGATTTCAGGTGCTGTCTGGGCTATCACTGCCATTCTACACCTCCCTTCATGTGTTTTCTTTGCATATATGGATGTCTTTGGTTGTTACCAAAATTTCAAGTCAACAGCACCTTTAGAAATATGTTTTCTGAAAGAAATGGTGACGTGTTCAATACTTATTTTCCTCGTTGTATGCATGTAATCCATAATAAGTAATCAGATAAAAAAAAAATACCATTAAAATACATAAAAATCAGACTAAAATTACTTTACGGATGGCATGATTAGATATTATTTACACAATTGAAGGAAGTACTTTACAATTCTTTGATTCTCCGAATATTTTTTTATTTATGTATTGTAACATGCCATATATTATATACGTTTGTGATTCATCTTGTTAACAATGTTGCTATTGTATTTTTTAAATAAAAGATTTGATCAAAACAAAAATATTGTTGTCTACAGTGTTGCTTCCTGCTTTCTAAATTTAAAGTAATGCTAGGCAAAAATTAAAATTGCATCCAAAAAAAAATTTGTTTGGACTTAATGTGTGTGTGCTGTGTATATTTATTATGTATATTTCAATAAACACATATTTGATAAAAAGAAATAAAATGTAGATACAAATTACATATAAATTTAAATATCTCTACGTAAATGTTTTCAAATAGTAAGATGCTTTTTTACTTGTTTTTAGGGTTGTAACGGTATGAATTTTTCACGGTATGATAATCGTCTAAAACAATACCACGGTTTGACGGTTTCGCGGTATACGGTATGTTACAAATGTTACAAAATAATAGAACAGTGAAGCAAATTTGACTTTTTCCAAATAATATATTTTTAGTTACTATAAACAACACCACTTACAATGAACAAATAAAAATAAGAAAATAATGAATAATGTGTCAAAGTCCAAATAAAGTCCAAATAAACATGGTGCAAATCCTCAGTAAAAAATAGATATAAATATTTACTATACTATAAATAGTTACATAACGAAACTAGATTCAATATGGAACATCCTTAGGTTTTATGTGCCAGCATGGATATGGTTGTCTATGGATATGGATTTGGATATGGTTGTCTGCAATGCAGACTGACAAACCGCTGCATCTTCATTTGCGTCTTTTGAAAACAGCAAGAGCAGCAGTTCGTCTTTGCTGTGTCACTGTTTTGTCATGTTTCTGTGCTGCTGTGCATGCAAAAGTACTTAGTATGAGAATTATTTCATGCAAAACTTTTTTTTTTGCGTTTTATTTAGCCGCGCACAAATGTATGGCTTTCTCTCATTCCGTGTTGTTCAAAAAGCTTGGTCCACAAACAAAAGCGAAACCTATGCTTATTGGTTGTGATATAGCGAGTTTGAACCAATCTGGGCATGGAGGAGGGACAATGCATCAATGTATCATGTCTGATTTGTCCGGAGACACAGTGACGAGCGTTTCTTTGTCAAATCAGCGTTGTCAAATTTTGATGACGAAACCGCACTGATTCCGGAGCCTCTGAAAGTCCGCGAATGTTATGTGATACAGCACTGGAAAGCTGAGATTCTCTTCTTTATGCCAATCTTTGAATTGTATGAATCGGATCAGCGGATCAAAAGTTATTAAACATTTAAGAGCAATACTTATTTTTAGCCGCGGGCGGCTGTCTCGGTCTTTAAGGGTTAAAACCGTTGATATGCAATTGTTCATGGTATGATTATCGTGCACGTTCAAATCGTGGTAGACCGTCATACCGGTATATTGTTACAACCCTACTTGTTTTATTCAGTGTTACTATCAGCAAACTATATATTAGTGTTAGGGTTTTAAAGTATTAACTGTCTTTGCATTTTAAATGCAATGAATCACTTTAAAATGAAGCTATTGAGGCTCTTGTTTGTGCTAAAGAATGAAGTGCACTACTTTGACCGATGCAAATAAAATACAAGATTGTCCTACTTCAGTATATGTGCATTAAATAAGGGTTAGCAGTGCACAAATTAATCTAAATGTAATCCATGATGTTAAAACAAATGTGTAATCGAAGAGAGTTTATCACAGACTGGTCAAATTTGTATTCTTAAATTCTTAACAAGCAACTCTATTATATACAGACACCAGTGGTTCGCAAACTCAAAAATTCTATAAATACTCCCTTTGATAATTTTGATAAAAAAATATGCTTGTTATAAATTGCATTTCGAGTTCAACTTAGCTTATCCAATGCATTATGAATCCCTTTGGAAACTAAAGCCATGTAATATTCATTGAAACCGATTGGTCAAAAGATGTGGGAATACTGTTCATTAGCATCCAGAATTATTGTAAACTCAGCAAGAGTACCAGATAAGATAAAAATAAATGAATCAGCTGAGCTAGACCTTTAAAATCTCAAGCTCAACGCTCATACCCAGCAGTCTGACTGGTTCAGCTAGTGTGCAGATAGTTTTCATGGACTCTGCTGCTCTCTATTGTTCACTATGAATGACGCAGTAGATGTCCTTGTTCAAAGTTATCAATAAAACATTCATAACTCACATTTTTGCCACTTCCTTCACCAGTTCTCGACAGGTCATATCTTTCATCTGGGGGAATAAGAAAAAAATATCAATCACAATATTTAACATTCACAGATTTGATCATTTTAATGTGTCGATGTATTTATTAACATAAAACACACTGCAAAACTTTTTTTATTGTGATGGCATACAACGGTTTCTTCTGTAAGAGTGTTTTAAATGATAACCTTCCTGCAGTGCTGAAAGTTGCTGACTCTTGTTTGAACACGTTCCAGTGAAAGGCTGCCAAACAAGCTTACACAGAGCATTACAGTTAAACTACACTTACACCAACTGTACTTTCAGCTTTAAAGAGGTGTTTGATTGAACTAGAATGAGTGTATGGTAAATGAAAGACTATAAACATGATGTCAAGAACATTTTCTGTACAACAATCTAGAGAAATTACGAACACCTCCAATTATACGGTCTAAAAATTTGGTTTCGTCAAGTTCTTTATAAGGAGTTTCCGATACAAAACTGTTGGGTCAAACCAGCTTACTGATTGGTAGAGCTGGAAATAAGAGGATGCCCCTTCCCTTCAGCAGTGGGCAGTAAAATTAGCCAGAGTTGCTGCTTTTGAACAAATGTCATCTACGCAGATGGACAAAGTATACATATACTATAAAAATGATTCAAGAACCTAAACTATTTGGAAATTGGTCAAAGATTACAATGAGTGTGAAATATTCATTCTCTTTCCTAAGACTGACTCTAATTTGTCTGGGGTCACCACAGCAGAAAGAAACACTACCTATTCTAGCATATGTTTTACGGGGCAGATGCCTTCCAGCCACAATTTAGTACGGGGAAGCACCCATACACTACAACCAATTTAGTTTATTCAATTCACCCATAGCGCATGTTTTTGGACTGTGGGGGAAACCGAAGCACCTGGAGGAAACCCACGCGAACACAGGGAGAACATGCAAACTCCACACAGAAATGCCAACTGACCCAGCCGGGACTCGAACCAGTGACCACCTTGCTTCTTGCTGTGTCTTGCAGTGCTAACCACTAAGCCACTGTGTCACCCAATAAGACATATGACTGTACATTTAATGGGTTTATAAGGACTGATTTGATTTATTTACCTCATGTATTTTATTTTTTGTTTTTGACTATTGTATACCAAAAAATTTTTATCGTATTCAATTATAGACAGGTTTTGTCAGCAATGCCTTAGTTGGGGAACAGTTTGTTTGGGTTTGCTAACTGGGTTAAAGTTTGATTCTGTACAAAGATACTACAATTCAATATTTCAGTGAATTAAAGACGTAAATTTTATATTTGATTTTAAAATGGAGGACATTAAGACATTTAAGACCCCGTGGACACCCTGAATAATGCTAATTCTCTTTGATACCAGCTGCATTTATTTATACAAAGATTATGGTAAAACTCAAATATTGTGAAATATTATTGAGTAATCTTTTATATACTAAAGAAAAAAAAAGTAATTTATACACAGATTGGAAAGTAAAATAAGTTGAACTTTGCAATATTTGTGTGCTTTTTGTCAATGTCAATGACTTAAAAATAATAAAAAAGCATTTTATTTGCTAAGATTTCCCCCCCGTACCTCAAAAAGCATCTCTTAAAACATTTTAAATATGGTTTCTTAATGAACTTTTTTTTTTATTTAAAGCCTTTTATGGTTACTTTTATTCATCCTTGTTTAATAAAAGTAGTATTCCTTAATTTTTAAACCATTTTACTGACCCCAGACCTTTGAACAATATATTGCAAGATAAAATGCATGTGCTTAATAACACCTACCTGTAGTTTCTCGATTTCTGTCTTGGCAGCTTGTTTGGCTTTTCCAATCGCGCAACCCCAGTAACCCTAAGAAACAAACAGCAGACAGTACTATTAAAGGGAAATGCACACAATAAACCATCTTTTTATAAGAGCTTAGAGGTTGATTTCCCTTAGCAAAAAACAAATTGTGTACATCTTTGTTGGGAGTGGTAATTAAAGTTCTTAGCTCTGAAATGCCTATTTTTTTGTTTCTTTTCATTAATGAAAACAATGTGCAGTCTGGGTTTATGTTTTTCACTTTAAAGCTGCTTTTTCTATCTTATTTTGTGTAAAAAAAAAAATATGTATATGCATTTACAATAAATATAAAGAAACTCAAACTAACAATGAATAGCTTTATTTTCATTAACTAACATTAGCAAGCACTGTAATAAATGTTTCGTTCATTGTTTGTTCATTTTACTAAATGCATTAACTCAGTGTTTCTCAACCATGTTCCTGGAGCACCACCAGTTCTGGAACATTTCCATGTCTCCTTAACCAAACACACCTGATAAAGATCATTAGCAGAGACTGAAAGACCTGTAATGGGTGTGACAGACAAAGGAGACATCCAAAACATGCAGTGTTGGTGCTCCTCAAAGAATGTGGTTGAGAAACACTGCATTACCTAATACAACCTTTTTGTAAATTGTTTTTAAAATCATGATAAGCAGCTGGTTTTGTACACGAAGTAATAAAGCAAAGATTAACAGTTTGGTCTCTTACGTATGCAATGCCAGAAGGGTCGACCATGTAGAGCTGTGGGCCATCATCTTCATCATAAGATCCCAGAATGAAACTGAAGAGTTAGACGACAAACACACAAGTTAAATCACATCACACACATCCACGCACACATACTATCAAATGAAAATGCTCTTAAAAGGTGAACAATACTTCTGAGCGTTCTCAGTCATTTACAAAAGACCTACCTGCATCCAAAAGGCCTGACGGCGCTGTATAATGTGTAAGCGTGGACATACATGGCCACTCTGTCTGCAAGATGCTGTTTGGGCAATATAAGAGAAAGAACATCAATGAACAGCATCTCATATCGAACATTCAAACATCACTGCTGTCTAAATGCTCTCGTAGACCCTTTTCACATTTCCGGTTTTCTCAGTAGTAGAAGTCATCATAGTTGGGTAAACTTAGAGCGCAGTGAATGGGCAAGTACAACAAACAATTTATTTGCATTACCATTTGCTCAAAAAAAAAAAAAAGTAAAATTCAACAATTGTTACAAATTTAATGTCCCACCCATTGACGCTGCTTTAAAAACACCCCACATAAATGGTAAATCATTTCTTTGTAATTTGATGCAAAGACGATATAATGCAAAGTATAGATTCATAAACGTATTCACGCTCTGTTATTTTTATCATTATTTTTTTTAAATATTTTTTACAAAATATTGAAAACTTTCAAGGACTATAGATGCTAATGACCGTTAAATGCGTCTTAACCATCTTGTGAAAAGGATCCATTGAAATTATTTTCATTCTTCAATTTTTGTATTTCTGAATTAAAGACAAAAAAGGGTTTTCAAACATTTTCAAAAAGATTTTGTTTTGTTTTTCAGTACATTAAAATGTCAGGCATGTTGCGCAAGACGTTTGTCCAAAGGAAAACTGGGGTCTGTATTATGAAGCCAGATTAGATGGCTAGCCAAATAAGTTTCAGTTTATGGCCCATTTCTACTGAGTGGTTCGATTAGGTATGCTTTTATGGCCGTTTCTACTGTCAAAAAGTACCAAAAAGCGAACCACACTGTACCACTTTTTGGGTACCCTTTCGGAAGGGTACCTAGCACAACAAAAGGGTACCAAAAGGCGGAGCAAGACGCACACCTAAACACGATTGGTTTACAGAGATAAGTCACTTGCTCATGCACAAGCTTGGAGAATAAAAACAAAGGAACCGCCATTTTTTAAATACGCAACCGAGACATTACACCTTAATAATATATACATATAAGAACAAGCCATGGTCGACCCTCGCTCAAACAAACCTTGTCTATAGCCCCTTTCACACATACAGACCTTTCCGGAAAATTGCCGGCAATTTTCCGGAACGGTTGTATGTGTGAACAGGTCCTTTTTGAAAATACCGGAAAATTCGTTCTGGCTATTTTCCGGAAAGAGAAGTTGTAACATTACCGGCAATTTGCCGGAATGCTGCGCTGTGTGAATGCAGAAGGAAGATTCCCGTAATAAGCGCGTGCACGTCTAGAACGTGCTGACGTGAGACGTCTGCTTTAGCCAATCACAACAGTCAGACGCATTTACGTCCGCGCGGTTTGTGAGGATAAAAGCCTTTGAATATTTTTCCAGACACATTTAGCTGCTAGAAGTTAGTCAGATTACGTTTGTATGGTCTTCTTAATGCCAACTGTGTAAATAATCATCGATGAGATGCTTATGATAAGCCGTTGTTTGTTTACCTTCAAGCTTTGCGTGCGCATATGAGAGCCTGCACACGCAGATATTATGAACATCTCGACATGCGAAAGTGATCCTGTGAAAGTTGTTCACAATATTGATCATCCACAGAGTATGTAATTTAGTCAAATGTTTACAAATACAAGCGCAGCCGTTTAAAGCTCACTTGTGGTGAATGATGTCAGAATTTACCGGTATTTTGGAATGGATGTGTGAATGCTCTTTTCCGGAAAATTTCCGTAATGTCCTCGTCTGTGTGAACAGCGCTTTTTTGAATATACCGGTAAAGTCGTTCCGGAAATTTTCCGGATATTTACCGGTATCACTGTGTGAAAGGGGCTATTGTCTTTATGAACAACCACAAAGCCAAGAGGAAGAGCAGAATCGACCCTGTCCACCATAGTTGTTTACAAGGCCGTCTAAAGCACGAGCTGCGCATCTATATTTGAAATAGCAAACTTCTTGAGCTGATGATAATAACGTGCGCATGATTATTGAAGTGCTTCAGACATCCGATCCTTTCAGAAACTGGCAAATGCGAGACTGATGTGCGAAAAAACAAAGGAGAAGCCGGAAAAAATAAAGGAGCGAATGATCATTTTCAGCGACCTAAAAGATGAACACTGCCATGTTTAACTATTATCATCACCTTTTGGACTATTATGAACTCGGAATGATGGAATTAATCTGTAACAGACGTTACATGTGCTGGGGAAGAATAAAGATGCAGACGAGAGGTTTGCACTGACTCTGGGCTACATGTTGCGTGTTTTTTTTTTTTTTACCCAATTAAGGACTAAATGTCTGCTGTGTGTAGTTTTTCTGTAATTGGTCACATATCTGAGACTGTAAGGGTCTGTATGCGTTCATATACATGTTGTATTTATTTATTTTATATAATTGCAGACGTTACAGTATTTCACCCTATTATTGATCTGCAGTTATAATCGTATCATGTTCATAGAAAGGTTAGTAATGAACATTTATACACAAGTATTTATGTCTATAAAGCATCTGTTTTGTGAGAAGTGCTTTTGCTACCCTTTTGGCAGTGGAAATGCAAGCCTATTAACTGTGACCCGTACTGTACCACTCAGTAGAAACAGGTCATTAGTTTGTGCAAATCTTGGGTTTTAGGTACCATGAAGGCAGCTCAACAGCTCCATAATACCATGACAACAAAGACTAGATAAAGTCAAGCTGCCTTTATGTTTCCTTAATACCAAAATTGGTGCAAACCAAACTGAAATTTAACTGGCTAACTCAGCTTTATGGTACAGGCCCCTATCCATGACCAACTGAGCCTGATTTCTCCTGAGGTTTTGATTTTCTTCACATCCACCCATTGGTGAACTTTGGTTTCTTGCTACTGTCCCCTCTGGCATTTGCACTGATCTGAACTTCAACAGTGACATTTATACTAAACTGAATTGAAACTGTTTCAATTCAACTAAAACAACACCAACATTCTAGAATCTTTCACAGTCTGAAATAATATGTCCTTTGCTCTCTTTTCTTCATCCACGTTAAGCTGCTTTGACACAATTTGAATTGTAAAAAGTGTTTAAAAATTAAAGATAAACTCAATTGAATATGTTTTTTTATTATTAATTAATTAATTTATTCATTCATTCATATGGACTACTGGTGATGACTGAGGTTTTTTTTAGAAATGTTTAACAGTAACTAGATGGTGAACCGTTTTGTGGGGTTATCTATTGCTTTAATCTCTCTTACCTTCAGTGGGATGTCATGGCCATAGTTGGAGCGAAAGCTTGAAGCCTCTTCTCTGGCCACTTCTGAGAGAGATCGTGCATCTGCTAGAAGACCAGCCACAGCCTACAACACACATAGACAGAAATTAATATATGTAGTTTTACACTACAGTTCAAATGCTGGCTTTTTTATAAAGAATTTTTTATTAAGTAATAATGCATGTTACAAAACTTTTTTGAAAGCTTTTGCTGTTCTTTTGAATTCCATAAAATAAAATATGCATTAAATAAATTAAATCTATTAAATAAAAATTTGTGAAAACAATACTATGCATAATGATGTGAAATATTTCTTGAGCAGCTAATAAGGATATTAGAATGTAACAGAAGAATTATTTGATTGAAGACAATTAATAATGCTTATAAAATGTAACTTATAAAAATTAAAAAATAACTACACTTTTTAAATATTAAAACAGAAAAAAAAAGTTATTCCATTATTGGTTATTCCATCTTGACATATCAACATCTATTTTTATGGCAAAATCAATCCATTTAAAATAATAACAGTAACACGGTAGTAATGAATACAGCTCTTGACACCACAGCCGCACAATTTATGGTTTTATACAGCTTTATTGTACATTTGATTTTTGTATGTCTGTATCTGTACACCTTTGACTGCTTTATTTCTGTATTTGCTCTATTTATCTCTGCTTATAATTTATTGATTGTTTCATGCACTCCCCTACAAAATCACCCCGATCAAATGTTTAAGTTATATTGAGAAAAATTGCAATATAAATGTAATAAGTATGTTTTTTTTTCAATATCGTGCAGCCCTACAACCAACACACACCCTTCAAAAATTAATAATGGAAGTGTAAAATGCAAAAAGATCAAAATTATTATTCAAGATCTGATTAAAAAAAATGCTATTAAAAGTTTGAGAAGGTTTTTGAAAGAAAGACACTACAGAAGACCCGTGTTGGCTCATTAAATAATACAAAAAATAAGGGAGTAATAATAAAATGATCTATATAAAACCTTAGATGCATCCAAAGTAGACTGTTAAATTTTACAATTGTACTGAACGGAGAAAGAAACAACTTGTTCGATGTTCTTACCATTCCAACGTGCCGATCAATATTGAAAATGCGCTTATTGGAGCCTTCCTCATACAGCTTGGACAGTACCAACTTCTCTACACCAAACACCACTCCATCTTTGCAGCGAATGCCAATCGCCGTGCTGAAGAAACAAAATGACAATTGTTTTAAACTTTTTTTAATCTAGATTAATCTCGGAATTCATTTAGATTAAAATGGCCTACTTGAATTCTGCTGAAGGTAAAGGTAGGGCTGGACAATAATTTGATATCAATATATATCGCGATAGATTTTTTTTTTTTAATAACAGTGATATGATTTTTAAACCCATTTCCAGTATTTCTATAAAGAATTTGCATATATATATATATTTTTTTTTATATTTAAGATCTTATACATTGTATCATTTTTCACTGAATGACTTTTAGAGCTCAGCCGTGAAGACCGTGATCATGTCACTTGTGTGATGACGTACATCACAGACATGCTGCTGCCAGCAGATACAGGCATACATCCGTGCTAAAATATCAAGGTGAAAGTCATCATAGCTTGCGTAGAATAGACCAAGGATTTTATTGAGGGTAAGGTTTTACATTTCGCACATTTGTACATTTTTAAAGAGTGAGAACATGACACGATTCCTAATATATTGTTTACCACACTACTTTGAATACTCAGACATTTGAATAGATAGACGATGCCATTGTCCATCGCCGATGACCGACACAGCCCCGTTTACACTAATACGTCCTAGTTTTAAAATGCCATTTTATAATGAAAACTATCCACATCCATATTGGCGTTTCAGCTAGCATTTCTAAAAAGCTCTCCTACCACACTATACCGCTGAAAATGCTCATCAAGCTTTGAGCACAAAACCCTAAAGAGCAGTGCACGTTGGACAGTTTATCAAGGATGTACCGCTGGATCGCGTCTCACTTTAGTTGTTAAACGTGATATTTAATTCAGCTTGTCCCTATCTAACGACTCTTCTGTGTTTTGAATCCATCAGGTAATGTGTCACGGCATCAGTACACTCCTTTAATCTTTTGCTTTCACGCTTGTACTTAGTAGTTTTAGCTACTGTTGGTTGTGCACCTTTTTACCAACCAAGTTTGTCGACGCCATTATAAAGATTATACGCCTATTCATGCCAGAGTCCCACGGAAAAAGCGATTGACAGTTGGTAATTTGCGTGTACATTACCTTTATTTATTTATGATTTGGTTATGGGTAAAACAAAGACCATGCAGGTCAGGGGTCCGTTCTTCGTACCTCGCTTAAATGATCTAAGATGATTTGACAGATCCGGGATCTTTTAATCTTGATAACTGATCTCTCGCTAATTTGGTTCTTCAAACAAGTTCGCGAATCAGATTAGAATGTCTGGATAAACTGATCTGAGATCGCTGCTTGTGTTGTGAAGGACAGATCTATCGATCCTCGAAATCATGATCAGCAATGCAACGATTGGCTGACGGCACAGCTGCGTAATGACATCATCTGATTAATATTCAATTATCCATGTGAGCAAAATTACGTCAAATTAGCAGAAACGGTTTGTTAAATATGACACGCAATAACCTTCCACATTTGTTGTGAGCTGCAGGCTTTACACTTTCTTGTGTCAAGAGTATTCATCATGTATTTCAGTGCATATCAGTGTATTTAGTTCTAAATTTAGAAAATATTGTCTATATTATTGTAGCCGTTTTTTAATCGGCGTAAAGAATAACTGGTTGTTTACAAAAGCATTTTGATATTGGTAAAGGCGTCTGCAACTTTTGTGAAGCTTCAAATCACTATTAACTATCAAAAAATGTTTATGACAGCATAAATGTATTATTGCTTTAAAATAAGTCACATATTCTGCATTTCTATTATACACAATTTGTACTAAAGCGATCTAAAAAGTTCATATCAATAAGTTTTCTCTTTGCACCACAAGGTGACAGTCTGTACTTTCATTTCGATGGTGCAGATTGCATAAGTTTTATTAATATGTATAACTTTATTTATTTTATTAATGACTATAACTTTATATATATATATATATATATATATATATATATATATATATATATATATATATATATATATATATATATATATATAGTTAAAAAAATATGTACCATTTTCCCAAGTGTATATAACTACTACTGTAAGAAAATATTAGAATTCGGAACATACTTTCTGTATTATCTTTGCTTGAACTGAGCCGATCTAATCCTGTTTATATGAATTGAACCTGCTCCCGATCAGGTTTGACCTAGCAGAACTGTTGCTATGACAACAACTCTCGGATCAGCTTTGAAGAACGAAACGATCCTGGATCGTGTCAAATCGTCAATATCCAAATCCAGCTAACTGAGTAATCCACGTACGAAGAACGGACCCCAGGTAGTTGAAACGGTAGGCAACAAATAATTAATTAATTATGAATAATATAATTATTCACAAATAACTAATTCACCGCCGCCTACGACAACAATGCCATCGTCCACCGCATTGTATCACATTAGACACCATACGATGCCAAACTGGTCGACATTGCACAACCCTAATGAAAGTATGACTTTATTTCATAAATATGGTTTAATCGACTGCCAACAATGTTGTACTTTGATAGTTGTTGGCTGCTAATATATTTCCCTATTTAGAATCAGTGTTACGTTCGCTTGCAGAACGTATTTTGGATAGGTGTGTGCGTTTGTTTGTATGTGGGTGGGTCGTTTCATGCGTGTGTTACAGGTACGAACGACATTGGAGGATCCGCATTTCGTGCTGATGAAATTGGCCGCTGATGCTGGGTTTGCGCTACCAATCGCTGGTTGGTGTAGCGTTTAAAAGCCGAGCCCAAACTGCTATGGCGATCTCTCTCTCTATCTCTTTCCTTCTCGCTCTTATTCTTTCTGTGGGTCCCTATAAGGACACTCTCTTGCGAGGGCTAGTCTGAGAGAATGTGTTTTGCTAGTGTCTAATGCTCTTGTCTAAAGTTTGAGATAATAATGCAATGTGTTTGTTTGTGAACTTGTCCAATTAACTGACATGTTTGAGTGATACCTCGGACTCGGAGTGTAGGAGTGAGTAAGTCGCGCGATATACATATACAACACTGAGATGAAAATTAGTTGAGGTAAAGTTGGTATTTTTATTCACACATTCAGCTTTTCTCTTTAATAATATCATTTCAAAAAAGTATTCTTTGCAAATTCTACGTAGTGAAATCATATTAGCAGCCGATGACTATCAAAGTACAACAGTTCACAGTCAATTAAATAGTGCTTATGTTGTTTTGAAGTCATACTTGCATGTGATTTCAGACCAAATATTCAAAGTATCAAGGTACATACTATAAAGAGCATGTCAAAAGTTGTCACTGATCAAATGTGCCAATGTAAAACCAACTTTACCTCAATCTGAAATTATATTTTTGAGAAGATTAATCAGTGACAACTTGTGACTATTTAGCTCTACTTAATTGACTGTGGACAATGTTGTACTTTGATAGTCATTTGCTGCTAATATGATTTAATTATTTAAAATTTTCAAAGAATATCTATCTGAAACTATATTATTATTATTATTATATACAGAGAAAGTCTGAATGTTTAAATATAAAACCAACTTTACCTCAATATTCAGAAAAGCGTCGGAAATGTGTGAATATAAAACAAACTTTACCCCAATAAACATCACAAGAAAATGTAAATGTTGCTTACTTAAACTATTTAGTAGTAATGTTGTAGTGTTGTAGTAAAATTGTAGTAATGTTTGATATTTACTTACCTGCTATTTTCGACAGCTTTCATGGCATATTCAACCTGAAATACCCTTCCGTCAGGTGAGAAAGTGGAGGCGGATAAATCATACTAGACGGGGGGGAAGATTTAATTGAAATATTTATACATGCACAATTGAAACTTTTAATTCAAATTTTAATCAATATAATCATAAAATCAACGCTAATGAAACAGAAATGGGAACAGAATGTGAGCTAAATCATCTACTTCACATTTACTTTCACTTTGCCTCCTCAGTGACTCTTCATTTGAACTGCTATCATTCATTGTTAGCGTGCAGTGACTCAGCACAGACAAAAGAGTGCCGAAAACACACAATTACACCGTGTACATTTAAATAACGTATGATGCCTGGTCAAGCATATGATTTACTTACTTTAATTAGAGTAAAGAAAAACAAAACACACTAATACAGTTCCTGCACACTAGCAGTTAGCGGATTAGCTTCAGAATGACACAGGCATAAACGCACTCCTTATTTATCCGCTCTTTCATAATCAGGTCTCCTTCAATCACAACGATAACTTCTACATTATATAATCTACTTACCCCAGTGCCGATGGAGCTCATTTTAAGTCACTGCGATCAACTAAAAACGTAAATAAATGTTGAGCATTAGCAGCCGCAGACTCTTCAATGCATCCGCTCTTACTCTGCAACCTGCCTTCAAAGAGCTCTGTGATTGGACACCATATTGACCAATCAGACTTCCCTGAGAGTTTAGAGCGCGGTCTTTCACAATAAAAGTTCAACACAACAGATACGAAAATCAATATATTCATTCATTCATTCATTCATTCAATCATTCATTAATTCATTCATTCATTCAGTCAGTCATTCATTCAGTTATTTAATTTATAAACTCATTCCTTTATTCAGATCTTTTCATTTAATCAAAAATTCAATCATAGTTATTTATTACTTTATATTAATCAATCACTTATTTAGTTATTTATTTATTTATTTATTCATACATTTTTCCATTTAATTTTTCAAGCATTCATTCAGTTATTGAAATATTGCTTTATATTAATCAATCACTTTTTGATTTATTTATTTGTTTGTTCACTCATTCATACATTTTTCCATTTAATTTTTCAACAATTCATTCAGTTATTGAATTATTACTTTATATTAATCAATCACTTTTTGGTTTATTTATTTGTTCATTCATACATTTTTTTCATTTGATCTTTCATTCATTCATTTGCTCAGTTATTTAATTAATTTATTAAATGATATTAATAAATAATAATTTAATAAATAATATTTAATAATTATTCACTAGTATGATTTATTTAATCATTCTTTCATTCATCCAGTTACTCATCCATAGTTCACTTATTTAAATTAAGTTATTCCTTCATTCCTTCATTTACTCATCCATTGTTATTTATTACTTTTGTTATTAATTTTATTATTCTTTTTAATCATGAATTTATTGGTTTCATAAAATCATTCACTCATTAAATTATTCTATACTATTCATTTAATTATTCATTCATTCGATCATTCATTCAGTTGTTGGTATAATCATTAAGTTATTGGTTTAATCACTTAGTCATTCATTCATTCAATTTATTACTTTAACTAATTTTATTTAATAATTCCCATATTTAGTTAATCATTCATTCATTCATTCACACACACATTTTTTTCATTCAATCATTCATTCAATTATTGTTATCTATTTAATCATTATTTTTATTCAAGTTATTAGTTTTATTTAATTATTCACTCATTCAATTATTCATTCATTCGTTCATTCATTCAACTGTTGGTAGAATCATTAAGTTATTGATTTACTCATTTAGTCGTCAAGTTATCGGCTTTATTTATTATTCATTCAATGTATTTAGTTATTTAGCTAATTTTATCGAATCATTCTCTTATTTTAGTTAATCAATCATTCATTCACACTTTTTTCATTTAATCTTCCATCTATTAAATTATTCATTTTATTATTTTAATCAAGTTATTAGTTTTATTTAATCATCAATTCAATCATTGATTATTCCATTCATTCAATCATCCATTTGTAGGTATAATCGTTAAGTTATTGTTTTTTTAATCATTCACTCATTCAATAATTTCATTTATTCATTCAATTGTTGGTATAGTCATAAGTTGTTGGTTTCATCATTTAATCATTGAGTTACTGTATATTTATCATTCACTCTTTCAATTATTCCATTCATTCATTCAATTATTCTTTCAGTTATTGATATAATTATTAACTTATTGGTTTCATCATTTAATTATTGAGTTATTGTTTTTTTATCATTCAATAATTCAATTATTCCATTCATTCATTCAATTATTCTTTCAGTTATTGATATAATTATTAACTTATTGGTTTCATCATTTAATTATTGAGTTATTGTTTTTTTTATCATTCAATAATTCAATTATTCCATTCATTCATTCATCAGTTGCTGGTATAATCATGAAGTTATTGGTTTAATCATTCAATCACTAAGTTATTGTTGTTATTTAATCATTCACTCATTAATTATTCCATTTATTGAATCAGTCATTCACTCATTCATTCTTGCAATTTAATCAATTACTCATTTGAAAATTAGAACTCTTACACCACTTCAAAAAATCTAAACCAATTAAAATAATCTATAAAAATAAAACAGCAAACGCAAGCCAACGTACAATAAATGGAATGTAAATATTTTATTACATACAAATCCCGGTTTGAACATGGCCGAGACAGAAGGAAAGAGAAAAGGCAACTCGTTTCCATTATTTCTTACTTGCTTTCTGTAATAAACAATTGCACTGCTACAATGTTCAGACATTCCCAAACCCTTTCTTTCGCTCATCTAAAAATCTTCCGCGTATTACTAAAATAAGACCAAACACATGAATCACATTCACGACAAATCATCCATTGCTATATTTATATATTTTATCTTCACAGGATTCTTCAAACCTACTGCACCGTCAGTTGGTCAAAATGCTACAGGCTCAGATTACCTCCAGAATCACATCAGCTGCTTTCTTTCACAGCTAAATTGGTTCCAACTCAAGTGTTGAGGATCATATAGACATCCAGGCTACTGTAATCCCTGAGACATATTTCCATATATCAGATGCACTCATCCTGATCCCTCTCAGAAACAAGGACATCTTTAACATGTCCGACATCAAGTTAAAACTAGCATCTCCTATAAGAATGTGCACATCATTGAATGCAGGTATAGTGTATACATCATGATGGACATCAGTTAAGCTGGATAGATTTTTTATAGGCACAGGAGGTCATAATTTGCACTCGGGGTGACTAGTGGAAGATGTGACTGAAGGGAAGCAGATATTTCTGATTGCACCACTCTGATTATGGTAAATATGACAACGTTCTTTAAATCTCCTCCTGGAAATAAATGCAGATTTTTGGCCTTTTGTTACATACTCATTCGTTACGACATGACAAGTTTACAGTTGAAGTTCATAAGAGCATGATCAAGCCACAAAAATCTAATAAAATCTTTAAAAAAATACAAATAAAATTAACAAAAAATATAATAGAATATATTAAATAAAAATAATTAAAATAAAACAAATTAATAAAAATAATTTCAAAATAAATAAAAATAAAATAAAAATACAAATTAATAAAATTTATAAAATAAAAATAATAAAAAAATAAAAATAAATAAAATAAAATAATTAAAAAAAAATAATATATGTGAAATAAAATCTTATTAAAATAAATAAAAATAAAAAACAAAACATTTAACAAAATACATCAAATAAAATAATAATAAATGAAATAAACTGAAGAAAAAAAATGTAATAAAATATATCTGGTAATGGAACCAAAATAATTTGTCACAAGAAATAATCTTGTCAAACTTCTTTTTTTAAATCTTTATGATTACATTTTCATAAAAAGGATAGTTCACCCAAAAATTAAAAGTATGCCATTATTCTATCCCCCTTGACTTGTTTAAAACCCATTTGAGTTTCTTTCTTTTCTTATTTTGATATTTTGAAGAATGCTGGTAGCTGGCACCCATTGATTTCAATAGTATTTTTTTCCTACTATGGAAGTCAATGCATACAAGCAACCAGCATTCTTCAAAATATCTACTTTTGTATTAAACAGAAAAAAAAATTCTAACAAATTTAAATAAAATAAACAAAAAATTAAATAAAATATATTACATAAAAATAATAAATCAAATTAAATTAAATATAAGAATAAAACAATTTATAAAAAATAAAATGAAAATAAATACAAATAATAATAATAAAATATATAAAATAAAATAATAATGAAATAAAAAAATTAAATTAAATAAACATAAAAAACAAAAAAGGTAATAAAATAATAATCAAATAAAATAATAAAAATAAATTAAAATGCAAAAAACGAATAAAATATATAAAATAAAATAAGAAAATAAAAATAATAGAAAAAATAATATATATTAAATAAAATAATAATTAAATTAATAAAAAAAACAAAAATAATAAAATATATAAAATAAAATACTACAATAAAGAAACAAAATAAAAATAAATAATAATAAATAAAGAAACTAAATTAATTAAATAAATTATATGTGGTAATGGAACCAAAATTATTTGTCACAAGACATGATCTTGACAGACTTATTTATATATATATATATATATATATATATATATATATATATATATATATATATATATATATATATATAAAAATCTTTGTTATGAATATATTTTCATGAACGCTAAAGGGATGGTTCTCCATAAAATTAAAAGTATGCCATCATTTTACCCCCCCCCCCCCCCCCCCTTCACTTGTTCAAAACCTTTTTGAGTTTCTTTCTTTTCTTTCTTTTTAATACTTAAAGAATGCTGGTAGCTGGCACCCATTGACTTCAATAGTATTTTTTTTGTTTTGTTTTACTATGGAAGTCAATGCATATCAGTAACCAACAGAAGAAAGAAACTCATAAAGGTTTTAAAAAACACCTGAATAAGAGTTAACAAAAAGTACATTTTCATTTTTGGGTGAACTATCCCTTTAGGCACAATTTATCCTTCAAAATTTGCATTACGCTTCATTTTAGAAACCGATTATGCGATGAATTATGACTCTAAAAAAAATTTAATAAAAAAGGTTCCAGACAAGTTTCATGAGATCCACCCACAGAAATATAATCATTCTTAAAACATTTCCCTTAAGTAGAGTTAAAATCAAGCCATGTCAGTTAAAACGCACACTTTCACAACTTTCAATTCAGTCATTGTGTTGTAAACTAAAAACATAATTAAATGAAAGACGTGAGAAAATGAGAACAGAAACGGACACGTTTCCATCTCATAATATAATGAAGGTACAGAATGACGAAAAACATTATGAACCCCATTACACTTGACTCATGGTAAATTCTTCAGTATTTCAGTGATTATATAATGAGCTCAGGGTGTTAAAGAGTATCCGGTGTATCATTTCAAGACTGGCCCCGGTAAGATTTGCATCAAGTGAATGATTATGGAGTTGTTTTAAGACACTAGAAGGTTCTGGAAAAAAAAAAGAAACATTTTTAAACAAGAAAGGAAACAACTGACCTATAGGAGGGATCATTCGGTGAATCTCATAATAAAGAGTCCAGATCACATTTCACAAAACAAAATAAATCAATAACAAAACAAAAAAATC